GATGCGACGTCCGTATCTGCGCAGCGCGACTCTTTGGAGATTATGGGGTTCGCGATTGCCTTCTGCCAATTCCGAATTGGCACATCGGCAGGAGGGGGCGCCAACGACGGCAGCCAGTTTCGAGCGTCCGATGAAATTTTGGCGACGCAACCAGCGATGGAACGTGCTGGTCGTGCTTCTCGGCGCAAGTTCCGCGACCTGAGGGCCAGCCTCTGGCGTGGCATGTGGCGGCGTGCGTCTGCGCGGCTTGGAGCTCGGCTCGAGACCGACTGCTATCCACTTCTGCTCGCGTCGATTCTTTTCAGGAGCACCACGCGGTGGATGATCGGGTCGCGGGCGCGGGGCTTCGGGCGCTCCGCAACGGATGGGGGGCCCACGCTGCCAGCTAAGGTCACATCGCGCTCGGGCGCATCAGGAAGGGTGGCGGTTTATGCAGACGCTTCGCCAGACTAATGGAGCCTCCTGGCGGGGCCGAGCCGCGGCCCTCCGAGCCATGGGCGCTTTCGTCGGCCTCGGGGGCCATGGCCTGGCATGCGCGGTCAGTTGTTATCTTCATGACTGTCAGGGCCTCTCGGATCACAACCTGGTCATATTGCGCAAGATTGGGTTTTTTGTTCCGCGCCCCTTCGCGGCTGCATCGCGCGGGGGTGGGGGCGGGGGTGGGGGGGTTCAGCGTGGGGCCGTCGCGTCAGGGACAGTGCGTTTTTGCTGGGGAGCTCGAGGAGCTCGAGGAGTACCCCCACTTGCTGTTCCACTGCTAAGGGCAGGGGCAGGCCTTGCGGTTCTTGCATTGTAGCTAGTAAGCGTTGAAGGGGGCCGAGAGTCTTGGGCTGGATCGCCGCGCCTGCCTTTCCCCCCAGGTCCCCGTTAGGATTGCGTTCCATTCCCGGCTGCATGGGGTTCGCGCGCGGGTTTTCTGCGCGCCCCCCCCGCCCCCTGCGGCCGCGCTTGCGGGCCGCGCCCCTCGCCGCCCAGACTGCTCAAGAGGCTCGGTTTCTTGGTGGGGCCCCGGGGGCCGCGCGGGCGGGGTCGCGAGAGACCGGGCGGGGCGCCGGCGAAGCTTCGCCGACCGTGGGCGCGCCAGATTGAACGTGAGTCTGAGGGCTCGTTGCGATATGCTGTGCCGACGGGGGGGTGCAGGGGTAAAATTCCCACGGCCTGGCGGGCGAACATGCGTCGGAGAGATAGGGGGCCGGCCCGTAATCCCATACTGTTTGCTGTTTCTGGTTTCTCTTTATCGCGCCCTGCGTTTCTGGCGGCAGGCGCTGGCGCGCCCCGTGACCGACGACCTGCGCGACTGGGCCGATGCAAGTCGGTTTCTTGGTTACTTCTTCGGCCTTCGCCGCAGGTCGCCGCTGACAGGCCTGCAGGCGTCTTGTTCGTCAAGCTCGGCCATGGCCGGGCGCTGCAGATGCTCTGCTTGCAGTCTTTCTTAGCGCGGCTGCGCCGCGGGCTGCGGGCGCCAGGGCTTGCGGCGAGAAGCCTTGGAGAAAATGGCTTCGTAAGGATCTGGGTCGGGGGTTGGGGGGGGCGGTGGATTCGCGGGGTCCTGCGTCCGCGTTGTCAACGCGGGGTCAAGTTCCGGCGGGCCCGCTTGTCCCGCTCGGAACCGAAGGCAGGGCTTCGCGAACTCTAGTTGGCCAACGTCTTGGTTCAGGATTGCTGCCAGCGATTCCACCCCTCCTGGAGCCGTCGGCTCGCTTTGCGCCTGGCGAGATCAGGCAGGCCAGGGGTAGGCGCAGCAGTGGGTTGGCTGCGTCTGTGGATGGGTTCAACATGCGGCGCGTCGCTGGCGCGTCGGGCGGGGCCCCCGAAGTTCGTTGCTGGGGTGCTGGGGCCCGGGCGGCGCGTGGGGCCACCGCCTCGCTGCCGCTGCGGATCCGCCATGTCATGCTGGCTGCGCTCTCCCAGCCCACTACCGCGTGCGGGGCATGCTTCGTCCGCCCTGCGCCCTGGCCTGGGAGGGGGGGCGCCGCCGTGCCTTTTCCGGGGGTGATGGGTTCAAAGGTACTTCGGATGTCGTTTTCCCGGTTTTCTGGGACCTGTGCAAGTGGCATGGGTTGATTGATTTGGGGGGCGTGGGCGCGCGCAGCCGCAGCGGTCCTTTTGCTGCGCCTGCCGTGGCGTCATTGGTGGGCGCGGCGATGCGACCGCCTCCTCCGGATTTAGTGGTGCTTGCGTTTTCTCGCGCGTTGGTTTGCACTCGCGTGCCTTGGGCGATTTTTCCATCGATGATTTCGGTTTCTCGGCGCTGGGTAAATCTCGCGTCGTTGTGCGCGGATGTAGGCAAGGGGCGGTTGATTTGTATCGCGCGGTCGTCGATGACCAGAGGTACCATGTCTCTCCCGATAAGGCTACCGTCGGCCTCCAGTTGCCCGACGGCTGGGCGGGCTCTCCAGATCTGGCCCGGCGAGTTGGCTGGCGCGGGGGGCGTTTCTATCGCGGTCGACCTCGGCATTGGCGACGAGGGGGGGGGGCGCGGGGCCGCGGGGGCCGCGCGTGCTCGCAGGATGAAGAGGTTCAGGGAGAAGGACAATGGAATTTCTTAGCGGCAGAACTAATTCTTGGGCCGCTCCGCCAAGCGCCTGTTCGTTGCTGGCGTTTTGCAGGGTTTCACCTGCGGCGCAGACGTCCATGGCGTCAAGGATAGCCTCGCAGCGCGAGGGTGCCAGCGGGCCTGTGCGCGTGGCTGAGCAGCGGAAATCGTTCTCTCGCTGCTGCCCTGGCCATGGAGTTCGATCTTTGTAGGCGTGGGGCCGCTGCGCCGATTGTTCTGCGGGGCGGGGATGTCCGGGCTGGGCGACGCCGCTCTCGTTTGCTTTCGAATCTCCATCGCGGAGCTTCGCGCTTCTGTGGGCGTCGTTTTTGAGGGTTGCGCCTTCCGGCCGGCCGATTGGTTTCAGGTGGCGGGCCCATCGTCGGCCCTTTATCCTTCGGCAGCGCGTCTTGGGCGGTCTCTGCCCAATTTTCCGTCGACATCCTCCTCGCCTTCGTTGGCTCCTCTCTCGTCGTGAATGTGCGGCGCCAGCTGTGCGTTCGGATTTTGGAACGCAGCCTCGCCGAGAATTGGGGGGGGCGGATGGGGGGGGCGCGTCTCGATGCGGCGCGAGTCCAGGCTGTCAGTGAGCGCCCCTCGCCTCTGGGCCGCGGGCGCATGGGGGGTCTTTCGCGCGAGGGGGCATGGGCGCCCGACCGCGCCGCCAGCGCAGGATGCCCCGTTCCTGACCAGGACCTTCTCTGCCCGTTTTGCGAGAACTGTGGGGCGAGGGGGGGGGGGGCGCCATCCACCGCGGGCTCTGAGTATTTAGGGCGGCCCAGGAGCCCGGGGGGAGGGGGGGCGTTTCCTCTGCCTCGGCGCGACGCGCGGCCACGGGCGATCTGGCTGTCGGGCGTCTGCGTCTGTTCGAGCGCGGGCGTTTGAGCTCCCGTGGGCGGCCTGGCCGAGAGAGCTTTCCGACGGCGGGGGCGCGATCGGAGCCAACCTTTGGCTTGGGGGTGGAAAGCGGGGATTCGCCCGGCGCGCTCCATTTTGACGGGTCTTGCTTCAAGCGCTCCATTGTCGACTTTGAGTCGAGTTGGATGGGGTTTGGGCCGCGTCGCAGAGGGTGGCTCTCTGCTCGCTGCGATTTATGGCCCTGTGCGCGCGCCCATGCCTCAGTCCGCCCCTGCTGCTCACTCCTGCTCTCTAGGCCGGGCACGTTTGCAGACTGCGTGTGTTTCTCGCGGCCGCTCCACTTGCAGCTCGGTCTCGAAGCGCCCCCCGCTGTCTCTGTCGGAACGACTGTCTTCCAAGAGAAGTGCGCTGGAGTTTTTCAGCGCGTGAATATCGGCAGGTCAGGGAGGTTCCTCGGGGGCGCATTCGGGCCCCCGCGAGGGAGGCGCTTCAACGGAAGAAAGAGCCCGTGGGTTGGGAATCGAGCTCGCCGACCTCGCGGCCAAGGCTGGCGCTACCATGCGCCCGCGTCCTGCGCCTGATGTTGGAAGCCGTCTGGCTCGCATACTTTCGCTGTCTAAAGCTGCGCAGATTAGCGGCCGCTCTCCTCCCCGCCAGTGGCCATGGCTTGATTTGTCTAGCGCGCCGCTGCCTCGGCGGAGTGTTACTGGGCGGGTGCGTCTTGGGGCGTCCCGCGAGAGGACGTCTCTCATTCGATTTTTTGAAGGTGCCAGGCGTGCTGGAGGTGTTCCAGGTCCGTCGCGAAACCGCCCCCCTGGTCGGCGCCGCGGGCCCCGACATGTTGACCTGGATGCTGCGGAGCAGCTGGGGCGCGGCCCGGCTCCTGGTCTTGATTGCAGACGGGGCCGAATTTTGATTCGTTTACGTGCGTTGCGGAGCGTTCCTGCGCCATGCGGCCCCCTCCATGACGGGACTCGCGTGTCGTTGTCCAGTGGCCGCGTCTTGTCACTGCCGAACGAAGCCCAACAAGGTCCAGAGGGGCCTGCATCCGAGGAGGATCTCTAATTTTTGGGTGTGCCTGTCTTGCCCCCAATGTGTAGTGGGTTCGACGCTGGCCACGCTTTGATTGCATCGAGCCGTGCCACATTGCGGCGGTGCTGCGAGTTGCCGCTGCATTCCGTCTGGAAGAGGCGGTTCGGCGTCGCCACGGCGCGTTTGTCGAGGAGGGTGTCTCAGGTCGTCGTCGTCGTCGATGGGGGGAGGAGGAGTCCACCCAGCCCGACCGTTCGGGCGAGGACCGCGCCTCGACTTTTCGAGAAGTTGATGGGCCACGATTGAGCGGGGGACTCGACCCTCAGCAGTTTTACCAGGAAGCAGATCGAGAGTCCGCTTGCCTTGGGTGTGTGCACTTGAGTTTTTCCCCATGGGGCCTCACCACCCCTCAGGGAGTAAACAGGTCGCACCGTGTATGTTAACAACCCTTTTCGTCGTCGTTGTCGTCGTCCTCTTCCTCCTACTTGTCTTCCTCTTCCTCCTACTTATCCCTCTCCCTCTCCCTCGTCCTTCCTCCTTCCGCGCCCAATTGAGCGGCTGCCTGGGGGCGGAGGACTTCTCCGAGTCCGCCTCGTTCGGTGGCTCCAGGCTTGGATCCCGCGCATTGTTGGGGGCCGAAAGGGGGGACAGAAACTGGTCGCTTACCTAATTAATTAATAGTTCGAAGTCTGAGTTTTCATGTCGGCGCGATAATTTGGAACCCAACAGGAGGTCGGAGAGAGGTTGTTATAGGATCTGGGAGGTTCCAGGAGTGCCCCTGGCGGGGTCCCTGGGAGGTTCTGTGGATCGCCGATTGTTTGTGCATAAGGGTTCAGAGTCCCCGCGGGGGGGGTGGAGAGTTTTAGGGCACCTTCTGGGGGTCCTGCGGTGTTCGAGGGCCCCCCAAACGTTCCTGGGAATGTTCCGCCGTCCCCGGAAAACGTTTGGAGAGTTTCATGGGCTCTGGAGTGTCCCTGGAGGGTTCGAGGGCCCCCCAAAGGACTCTGGACAGTTCTGCAGGCCCCCCAAGGGTTTTTGGAATTCTATAGAGACACCAGTAGGATGCCAGGCAGGTTCCAACGCGCAGGGGGGCACGTGTAGAAGGTCCCAGGGCCCGCACGTGTTTGTATACACGACCTGCCTTTTTCCCAGCATTTTGGCCCGAGAAGGCTAGGCCAGCGAGTTTACCTCTGGGTTGGGCAAGTCCCAGGCGGGCCGAGCATCCGTGTCACGGCGCGCCCAACTGCAACAGCGGAGCGAGGGAACCCATCATTGTCAATCCAATGTGTGTCTACCCCGGTCAGCCTCACAGGTAGATCGATACATATCCTGCGTCTTATTGAAGGGTCTCCATTCCCCAATCAGTGCTTGCACTCAAGAGGTCCTAGCGGATATTGAAAGATTTGGTGAACGTTTCCCGCCGATTTTCGTAGCCGGCTGGGTTCCTGGGTTCTCGGTCGTGGGTTTCTGGTTGTTGGTTCCAGGCCGATTCTGGTGGGTTCAGGGTTCCCGGGTTCCCAGGTTCTCGGTCGATCTTTTCACTGATCTTGTTATCGATCCCACCATTCATCAAACCATCCATTGATTGGGTTTTTCTCTGGTGTAATGGACAAGCACTCGTCAGCGCCAAGACGCCTTCTGAGGACTGCCGGGAGGAGAACCCAAAGCTCCAAGGAGTTGTCTGTCTCCGCTCCGGCAGTCCTTCCATCTCGGCCTCCGGGGGGCCCCGTCATCGGGCACGGGGACCAGCAAAGACGGAGAACCAGATCTCCGAGGGTCGAACCCTTTTCAACCTGGTGCTTTTTCTTCGACCTCGGTCCCCTGGGGGCCCGTTGTTCCAGGCCGCTCGGATGTGGTCCGAGTGGATGGGGTCGAAAGATCGCTCTGCAGCGCCGATGCATCGAGGATGCGGCTCGACGTGGGGCCAAAGTTGTTCCACGCCGGTGGCGCCGATGCGTCGCAAGCACCGCCGGTGCGTCGCCGATGAATTGGCGATGCATTTGCGCTGCATGCACGATGAAACGGAATTCTCCGACCTGACCTACTCGGACCCCATCTAGGAGGCCTCTGGTGAACGGGCCGGGGGCCATACAACATGGATCCCCGACGAAGAGCCATTCCCGGGGAACGGGCTGGGACCTCTGGGGACGCGGATGGAACAGGAATCATATCTTCCTTCTCCTCCTATTCCTCCTCCCTTCTCCTCCTCCTCCTCCTCCTCCCTCCTCTCCCTTCTTTTTTCCTCCAGCGTGCTTCATGTTCCCTGCTCCCCCCTTTCCCTTTTTTTCTCCAAGGTGTCCATGCTGGTACCCTTACCTCTTTTTCGCCTTCTTGGCCTCCTGGGAGACCCTTGTCGCCACCGGTGGGTTCGCCTCGGAATTTCCTCAGAATTTTCTGGTCACCCTGGAAGAGGTGGGGCAGCGGTATCGGTCCCTGTTGGTTTCCCCAGGGAGTGTCCGGGCACAACGAAGAGCATCAGCCACAGCGAAGTGGATTTCGAGAGGGCCTGTCGGAGAATTGCCCCTAGGGGCCTGGGATGGTCCAGGCACAGTAGGTCATCGAGAATAAAATAACCCCTGGTAAACCTACTAACGCGACGAGTACGTAGCCTAATTTCTAGGCCTCCTAGATTGGGTCGGAGTAGATGGGGTCGGAGGATCGCGCCGCATCGCCGATGCGGCTCGATGTGGAGCCTGAGCTTCTCCACGCCGACGTCGCAAGTGCATCACAGACAATGCCGGTGCATCGCCGATGCATCGCCGATGCATCGGCGATGCGTGATGCGCGATCCTCCGACCACATCTGCTCCGACCCCATCCAGGAGACCCGAACAATTTGGGTCCCCATCCTTGCAGGAGTTACAATCGATCTGCCGAAGAGACCCCTATCCCGAATTCCTTGGGGCGTCTTAGCTCAGGTCTGCTCCCGAAGGGTTAGGAGTCCTTTCTACTTGCTAATCAACAGATGACCATAACCACAACTGAGTTGATTTTTCGGGAGGGCCCTTCGGGGAGGAATACGCCGACCAGGCATGAGCACTTTGGTTGTGGTTGCGGTCGATCTCGCTGTCCTGGGACGCCACATCGACCACAACGAGCATTCGGCCGGTTTCGGTGCTTTGACGTTTGCTGGCACGCGCAGGACATCACCCAGGGTGTACCCTCGATGTGGTTGTTGGCGCTTACTGTCCCCGCCGATGGGGCCGAGACAATCCAGGATCGATGATACGCAGGCGATGTTTCTATCCAACCACCCGACTTTTCGACGACGAATGAATACATCAATCAATCAATGACGCCGTGTCTGCACGGCACATCGGCTAAAGTAGTGCTGCTGGCCGGAGGCGTGTGTCCACCATGGCACAAGGCAAGGGCAGTTCACAATCTGATGGCCCAGCGTTAGGCTGGTGGAAGAAACTGCCTGCAATGGCTTATGCTGGGAGGGGGGAGAGGAGGACGAGGTGGAGGAGGAGGAGGATGAGGAGGAGGAGGAGGAGGGGGGAGGGATGAACCAACTCCCTTCCTTCAGGGTATCGCACGAAAAATGAAGTGGCTAAGAAAAGGAGGGTAATCCTGGGATACACCCCCAGGGGGCTACTCGGACGCACCTTTGTCGAGGTTGGACGCCCCCCTAGTATATTCCAGGGTTTGGCCCAAAACTTCAGGTCCACTCGAAAACCTCCCAAAGCCAGGGATACGGGTCGACACATCCCCTGTTGGTGATCGAGGAGGAGGGGCACAGCAGGTTCGCGTCGTGTCGACGTGGCGGCGATCCCGCTGCGGGCGGTCCTGGCTGAAGGCCTCCAGTGGCCCAGAATCGGCCAGATCATGGAGTGCTCCGGCGATCGCAGAGCCGCGGATCGTTCAGGGTGGAGCGATCCGCGCGGTGTCACGAACCAGCGCCAGGGTCGTCACGGCACCAACCCGCTGGGGGAGGAGGAGGAGAGGGAGGAAGAAGAGGAGGAGAAGGATTTGGGGGAGGAGTGGGAGCCGTCGCCAACCGAGGATACAGCCCCCTGTGAGGGTCCCAGGGTCTGGGGGTCAAGGGGAGGCGGCAACTGGTCGGGGGCGTCCAAGAGGAATCCAACGGCAGCTCGCACTGACCCGCACAACCCGTGAGTGCCACAGCTTCCGGTACCTGAGGCCTGTGCTCTCTTGAAGTCGTAGACTCTACGTCTGAGGCCACTGCCCTGCTACCTCCTCCGCGGCCGCCCTCCCCTTTTCCATGTGTGTCTGTGTGCCCACAGCCTGGCACGGCGCGCTGGCTGTTTGACCGCGTTGGCGTCCGCTCCCGTTGCTGAGAGCATTTTGTGTGTGTGTGTGTGTGTGAGCCGCGCGTGGTTGTCACGGCCAGGGCCATGAAGCCTCCATCTCACGCCCCCCTCTCCTTCACTGCGTCCCTTGGCCTTCCCCCCTCCACCTATTCCTGGCCCCCCCTCCCTCTGCGCACCCGACCCGCGAGGCCAAGATGGGGTGAAGTCGAGCGTGTCCCTCTGCAGGAGGCGAGTTCAAGAACAGTCAAACAAGATCGTCTAGGGACGATTTGGCGATCACTCTTTGAACACTTCTGGGCATTGATGGCGTTTTTCATGTTCCGTCCAACGTCCTCCGGCATAGGGCGACATGCCCGACCTGATAGGCAGGGGGGCAGGGCGCGGGGTGGAGGCCAGAGGCCGACAGGGAGGAGAGGCGAGAGAGAGGGGCGGGGCGGGGGCCCCCGGGACCGGCCCCTCGTCCCGAGCCGCTTCTTGGCGGCAGGGGGGCGCGTGGAGGGCCCCCCCTTCGGGCCCCGGAGGTGGCGGGCGAAGGCTCCGTCCCCAGGCACGATCGCGTCGCAGCGCAAATCAGGACGGGAGGTGTTTGGGCTATGTTCGTCCCCTGGGGGCCCTCGCTGGGCCTCGGGATCGTCAAGAGACGACTCAGGACGAAAAACCGGTCCAGGGGAAAGGGTCGGGACTTCCAGGGACGCCGTCCCGAAAAAACAGGAGGGGTCGGGAGCCTTGAAACGGGTGTCAATGCAAACGGGGGTCAGCCAGAGCGCCCGATCTTGCAGGATCCTGCAGGACCAGGGTCGCATCGACCCAGGCTTGGGTACAGGATCTCCCAGTATCTTGCAGGATTCTGCAAGGCCTGACTGACCTGGGTCTGGGTTGACCCGGGTCAGGAGATCCCCGATCCCAGGCCCCCTCCTCGGGGGCAACGTCGCAGGGAAACGCAGGGAGCCGCGGGGAGCCTCTCGAGGAACACCGGGCGGGCCGAGCCAAGGGCCCCGCCGCTCTCTCGCTGGCACGACGCCCCCGCGAGCTCCAACGGCCTTCCTGTTACTGCTGCTCCTCCTTGTGCTTCCCCCCCTCGATCCTGCTCCTCCTCCTCCTCCTCCTCCACCTATCCTCCTCCTTCTCCTCCTCCTTCTCCTTCTCCTCCTATCCTCCTCATCCTCCGCCTCCTCCTCCTGTTGGGGGCCACATCGAGTCCCAATCGCCCATGCATCGCGCTGCATCGCCGACAGGGGCCTGGTGGCCCCCCCCGCCCAGGAACGTACGCTGTCGCTGATTCGGCGTCCACCGCCGATCTACCGGCGACGCCTCGCCGACTCCGGGTCGCTGCTTCCGGCGGCGAACCTTGGGGGGCGACTCTCGTTCGACACCGTTTCGATACTTTTCTGGGTGCTCGAAATGATTTCTGGGATGCGGTCCTTAGGTACGATGGGAGCAGCGTAACCCAGGGCGCAAGTACTCGAGGGCCTGGCCCTTCGGGGCCGGGGCGCGGTGTGCAGACGGAGTGCAGACGCGCCCGCTCTGAGCTGGGCCGGCTGCTGGTAGGGCCCCCCTTCGCGGGGCGCCACAGCAGAGCGTGCAGGGCGCCGGGCGTGAGGGGTGTCGGGCGGGCCTCCTCAGAAGGCTCGGAAGTCCACTGGCCTTCAGAAGTTTCCGAAGCCTTCCCCGAAGGCGCCAGCAACCTCCCAGAAGGCGCGAAGGCTTCTGAGAAGTCCCACCGCCTTCTGAGAGGTCCGCCTTCTGAGAGGTCTTTCTCCGTCCCATTTCGCCCTCACTCGCTCGCCGCCAGCTCGCACCCTCCAGGACCCCTTTCCGCCCTTCCGAAGAGGTGCCCTGGACGGGGGGAGAGTGTCGACTAGGATGTCGACTGCAGAACTGATTTATTTAATCGCTTCGCTCATTCCGCCGGCCCGTCTTGCGCACCGCGGTCGACTGGATGAGAGGTCGTCGGCAGTGCGGAGCTGCAGGGAGCGGGGGCTGTTTTTTTTGTTGAGTCGTGGGCCCCAGGGCCCGACATTCTGGTGAACGTAAAGGGGGGTGGCCCAGACGGGGGGTGAACTCGGACGGCCTCGGAGGCGGCGCAGAGGAGGTCTGAAATGAAATGTGATTCAATCGTTTCGCTCACTCCGCTTGTCCATATTGCATGATCGCGCCGTGGTGGGGTAGCCGAGTTTTGGGGCCTGTTGAGGGCCGTTTTGGGGCCTCTTGGGGCCTCTTTTGGGCCTCTTGGGCGCCTCTTGGGGCGTCTTGGGGGCCTCTTGGGGGTCTCTTGGGGCCTCTTTGGGACCTCCTGGGCGGCTTCTGGGGCGGAGGGCTCGATTTTTCAGTTCTCCGTATCCCTCTTGAGCCCCTCTTGGGCCCGTCTTGGGGCCTCTTGGTCCGTCTTGGGCGGCACTTGGGCCGTCTTGGGGGCCCTCTTGGGCCGTTTCGGGGCCGTCTTGGGAGCTTCGTGGGCCGTCTTGGAGCGATCTTGGGCGCCTCTTGGGTCGTCTTGGAGCGTCCGGAAGCCGAAAAAGCCAGAACGCAAAAAACATCGGAAAAACCAATGAAAATCAACGATTTTGGCCTCTTGGGGCCCTCTTCGGAGGCCTCTTGGAAGGCTCTTGGGGCGTCTTGAAGGCCTCTTCGGCTGTCTTGGGGGTCTCTTGGGCCGTCTTGGGGTCATCTTCGGCGCCTTGGAGCGCTCTTTGAACGTCTCGGGGGCCTCTTGAGCAATCTTGGGGGCCTCTTGGGGCACTCTTGGCGCGCTCAGGGCGGCCTGAGAGGCCGCACCCAGAAGGAAAACCATCTCTGAGTTGAACCGGGCGGGACCTTCCCAGGCGGCGGGCGGGGTACTTTTCGCCGGGGGACCCCCAGGGGCCGCCCCGCGCGCGCGAACTAGTACAATACAATTGTTAACCAGTTACCGGAGATCTTAGCACGCCTCTGGCCCGTTGGGCCGGCGAATTCAAGTATTGAACTCTTCGCTGAATCAACGAAGAGTGCTTACCATTCTCGCAGATCTGCGAAGAACGAATGCATTGTTAGTATATTCTATAAGTAAGAGTCGATTGAGCGTCTTCAAAAAAGGGTCGTCTGCGCCGACGTTGTTTTGCATAAGCTGCCCGCGTCAGGTCGCGCGTAAGCGCCGCCGTCTCCACTGTGGCCTGCTGGCGGCCCGCGCAAGCCACCGTCTGAGGTCGCTCCTCTCGTCGCCCGCTTCTGCAGTCGATCGCCGACTCGAGAGTGGCACAGCGGAGGCGCTCTCCAGTGCCACAGACACTACGACTTCAACGAAACTACGTCACTGCATCGGATTACAACAGAGGAGTGGAAACACTTGGAACATCAACAAGTGAGGTACGCATTATCCTGAGCAAGGCTCCGACGCGCGCTGCCTCATGCGAGGGCAGGGCCTTTCCCGCCTTGCCCTGAAGGGGCCTGGGCGCATGCCCGCACAGGCGATCCGATCCGATCCGATCCGATCCGTGGGCGGGGCGGGCCCTTTCTCTCGACCGGCCAGGCCCGGCTGGGTGTTCAAGCGGGACCGCCTGGGCCTCGGCTATTACCGCGACGCCGGGCCCTCGGCTGGGGGGAGCGCATGGGCAGGAGCCCGTCTTCTGCACCGTCTCTCGTGAAGCCGACCGTCACCAGGAGAGAGCATGCTAGGCGTGGAATGAAGTCCTCTGGGCCTCCTCGATGGGGTCGGAGTGGACGGGGTGGGAGGATCGCGCCGCATCGCCGATGCATCGGCGATGCGGCTCGATGCGGGGCCCAATTTTCTTCACGGCGGCGTCGCCGATGCATCGCCGACGCCGCCAGCGCATCGCCGATGTATCGCCGATGCATCGGCGATGCATCGCCGATCTATCGGCGGTGCGGCGAGATCCTCCGACCCCATCTTCTCGGACCCCATCTAAGAGGTCTCTAAGTCAGTGAAAAGATGAACGATGAGTCTGTAATGCCTCTTGTGATTTTGGGCCGGCTATGATGCCCACTCGTACAACCCTCCCTCCCGTCGGCAGGGACTCCGCATTCCACTCTGATGGCGGGATGGGAAGACGGGCCGCCACCCCCAGCACTGCACGTGCGGTGGCAGCATACTAATATTATGTGTGTGCGTCGCCCCCCAAGGGGCGACTCGCGCGCCGAGAACTCTTGTCGTATATGCTCCGTGGCGGACGTTTTTGTTGCCGTACCCTTCAGGAAACTATATACTACAACATTGTTATACGATATGTTCGGGTCGGATGCACGCCTCCAAGGAGGACGCACAGGACTGGTATGTCCGTGTTCTTTTCGGCGGCGAGCTCTGGGGGAAATGGAAAAGGGGCGGGCCTTCTGAGCAAGCTCGGGAGTCCATCAGCCTTCTGAGAAGTGTTCTCAGCCTTCGCCGAAGACACAGAATTCCTCTCAGAAGGCGCGAGGGCTTCTGAGAAGTTCCGCCGCCTTCTGAGAAGGCCTTCTCCTTCTCATGTCCCCCTCTCGCTCGCCGCTGATCTTGGCATCCTCTCATGATGCCGACTATCACTCGGCTGACGCTCTTTGACGAGCGCGTCCTGGGTCTTGACGGTTCAGTTTTTGTGGGATGTTTGCGGCGGGAGTTCGCGCCAAGTTTCAGTCAGTGTCGCGCCATGTTCATGACGGCCCCGTCGGGCCAACCCGAGTCCCTCGAACCCGAGCCTGTTTCGAAGAAGACAAAGCGGCATAAACATAAATGTTGGGCGTTCCGCGCGAAGCTCCAACCGCTGATGCTTATGCCGCTTTCTCTTCTTCTGCTCACGTCTCCGCGATCTGCATCCTCTCGTGATGCCGACCGTTTCCAAGGGGCTTCTGGGGGGAGGTGATGGGCAAATTTTCCACCACAACGACCATCTGTAGGACGGGGGAGGGGAGGAGGATCAGGTCCTCGCCCTCCCCCTCCTCCTCCTCCTCCTCCTCCTCCTCCTCCTCCTCCTCCCCCTCCTCCTCCCCCTCCCTCTCCCACCTGTGGTAGAGGTGGTAGAACATGCGTCTATCAGGAGCGGCCCGTGGCGTCACGGCTCGTGCCGATGCGCTCCTTGGGCACTGGCCACACGTGGCGGCGGGGGGGGGGCGCGGAGGCCGGTGTCCTCGACAGCGGGCGGGCTACCGCGAAGCGGGGCAAGCGCGGCCGGCTCCCCGCGACCCACCCGCGACTGACCCGTGACCCACCTCGCGACCCACCCGCGACCCACCCCGCGACACACCCGCGACACACCCCGCGCTCTCTTCCATCACTCTATCCGCAACTGTGGGATGTTACATCGCTTCTTTGTTCCCCTATTCCCTCCCTTCTTCTGCCCCTTCGCTTCGCACGGGGGTGGCTGTCAGGCTTGTTGGGGCTGGCCGGTATGTCCGTGTATGTCCGTAAGCGGTCGTGCTGTCGTGCACGGCCTTGCGCGCGCGTGCGCGCGGCCGGGAGGCGAGCTTGCGGCGCTTCTGCCACGCCTTCAAGCGTGCTCCCAGGACCCCTCGACCCCCTCGCGCCTCATGCTGCTAGTGAGTGCCGTGCGTCTTCTGGTTTTCCTCGGGCGTGCTGGGCCGCGCCGCCCGGCTCTCAGGGGGCCTTTCCTCTGCGCTTCCTCCCTCCCTCTCCCCCTCCGGCGTCTGCCTCTCCCCCCTCTCCTCCTTCCCTGCCGCTTCTCCCTTTCCCCCCCCCATCCCCAGCCATCGTCGTGCGCCGTCGCTGTGCTCATTTGTCTGTCGTCTTCGCCCTCGCCGTCGCCGTTTTGTCGTCGCCGTCGTGTCGGTGGCGACCGCTTTTCTCTGGGCCTCGACCTCGCGCCCCTCCTTGGGCACGCGCGAGGCCAACCTCGCATCCTCAAGCGCCGCGCGGGCGCAGCTTCCTGTTCCCTGCACTTTAAAGACGTGGTCGCCGCGCAGGCGCAGCTCCTGGGCGGTGGTAAGGATAAGTAGTGCCCAGGGGCGAGCCGGGTGCTGGCACTCAGTTTGGGTGATGGGCCACTGTTCCACCACCGCTGCCACAGGTAGGATGGGGGAGCAGGGAGGATGGTGAGATCCTCCTCCTCCTCCTCCTCCTCCTCCTCCTCCTCCTCGTCCTCCTCCTTCTCCCTCTCCTCCTCCTCCTCCTCATCCTCTCCTTCTCCTCCTCCTCCTCCTCCTCGTCTCCCTTCTCCCCCTCCTCCTTCTCATCCTCCTCCTCCTCCTCCTGTTCCTCCTCCTCCTCCTCCTCCTCCTCCTCCTCCTCCTCTTGCTCCTCCTTCCCCTTCTCTTCCTCCTCCTCCCCCGCCTCTCTCTCTCTCTCCTCCTCCTCCTCCTCCGTAGCCGTTTTGGCTCAAGATGCTGAGTTCCCTGTGGAACGCACGGATACCGCTATTCTGGGGCCAGGACCAGGACTGTTGCAGTGCCTGGTCCGCCCCAGGCATCCGCGAGCCGCCCCCAGAGGGTGCGCTCGGCCTTTCACCGCGACCTGCAGCCAGGTCGCCACAGCTGTCCCTCTTCAGCCTTTCTCGGCGCGATGGTGGCCGCTCGACACCAGCAGGAGCGCATTGCATTGGCCCGGCCGTAGCTATGCCACTGGTGCGTCAACCGTACTGGGAACGTTGGTGGAGCAACGCAAGCGCGAAGGAGTGCGGCGGAGGCCGTGGTTCTGACAAGGGTGTGGTTTTCTTCTCCAACAAGCCGCCCAGAGAGCCGTTTGCGTCGCTGTGGCCCAACAGCAAGCCCAGGGGCAAGGACAAAAACACAAATCATGATAAAATATAAGGGTAAGGGAAAATGAATCAGGGAGTTGGCGCTTGAGAAGCAACTGGTCGCCCTACGCAAGCCGTTGGTGGCCAAGCCAGGCGACTCTGCGATTCAGGTCGATGCGGGAGCGATCGCCAGCACGCCCAGTGACGAGCACGAGCTGTGCAAGCAGGGGCTGGCGGATGCGGAGAGCATGCTCGAAACCTTGCCCAACGAACCTACCACGGAGTTCGCGCAGCAGGAAGCAGAAGTTTCACTTGGAGCGGCTCCATGATGCATGCAAGGCCAATTTGCGAGCGGCGCAGCCCGTCGAGTGGCGGGCGCAAGACGTGGCCAACCAGAAGAAGCAGCTCACTCTTAAGAAAGAGCAGCTCGAACAAGCAGTGGAGGCGACAGCTGAAGCGGTGGAAAAGGCACAGTCTGTCCTGGCGGAGGCGGAGCAGAGCCTCACATATGAGCTGGAGCAGATCGTCGCGAAGGAGGCCGGGCTCAAGGCGGCACTGGAATCCCAACCTCGTGTACCGCAGGAGAGCGCCCTGTCGGCTTCGATCGAGAACTGTCGTGCGTCGGTCGAGGAGCTGGGCACCTTGTTCAAAGCTCGTGAGCCCCAGGGTGCCGATGCGACGGTGCTGTCGAACCAGCTCAAAGTCGCCATGCAGGCGCTCCAGGAGGCCGAGAGGAAGGTTCAGCCGAAGCCTGAGCCGCAGCCGTCTTCGGATGCAGCCGGTGCCGCAGGAAAGTCAGAGATGCCCCAACAAGTTGCGGTTGCGCATGCCAGTCCTTCTGAGTGTGCTATACCTAAGTCTACTGACGATGCGGAGTCTCTTCGCGAGCTCATTGAGGCCATGTCTGTCGATGTCCCAGACGGTGAGGCGGAACTACGAGCCACCGCTAAGAGGTTCATTGACTGTTTTCAGAGCTTGGCCACGAAGCCGAACATTCAATGCGTTGATGCTTGGTTGCCTCATGGCCATGATGACGACGGCAGAGGCAAGTTGCATCCAGACGTTGAGTGGCACATCGGTGACACAGCTGGTCGGCTGATTACCCGAGGTTGGAACAATTTTGATCTGTGCGCAAGATCATCACGCGACTGGCAACAGGGTGGCAGATGCTCAAGATGGTGAAGAAGATGGCGGACGCCAAGTATCACCTGCCAGTGAGTTCGCCGCTCGACACGAAAGATATTCCTCTGCTTCTTCGTGAAGTTGTGGAGGCCAAAGGGTCGCCGACTGAGGGCAGGCCCGGCTGCGCGATGTACCCGATGGTATGACGGCCCATCAGGGAGCATACAGGCCGTGCTGGCTCGAGGGAGGCTCTCGCGCAGGGCTGCCTCAGCGTGCTCGGCGGCATCGAGAACGAGTTAGCAGGCAGACATGACATTGTTGGACAGGCGGTGGCGCCGCATTTGTCTCGGGGGGTGCGCCGCCAGCGGATTTGGCGCATTGCTGGGCGCTGGGCCCGTCGCGCGAGGAGAGTCGTCGCGTTCTTCGGCGCCCTGTCGACGGAGATCCGGGACGCGCGCGGCGACGGCGGGGGCGCGACTTTGGGTCGTCATGCGACGGCGGCTTGGCACTTTGGCATCAGCGCGCATTGCGCAGGCACTTCTGGGCGGCTGCCCGCCAGGGGGAGAGAAGGCAGGGCCTGGTTGCGCCCGCGACCTTCCAAGGGCAGGATCAGCCTCGACGAGTGCGGCTGCTGGACATATCGCGCGGGCTCCGTCAGGCGGCTGCCCGCCAGACGGAGCGAGCGTGGTGTCTGGCAGCGCTCGCGACCCACCGCGAGCTCGGGTGTTCTCGAAGGAGTCGGCGGCTCGGCAAATTGCGAATGCCCCGCCAGGCGGCTGCCCGCCAGGTGGGGCGAGGGCGGGGCGGGGCCTGGCAGGGCTCGCGACCCTCCATGCACCGGGCCAACGTCGACGGGTTGGGCAATTTCGCGCATTGCGCTTGCTCCGCCAGGCGGCTGCCCGCCAGGCGGAGCGAGGGTGGGGCCTGCTCGCGACCCTCCAAGAGCCGGTCATCCTCGAAGGTTTCGGCGGCCAGGCAGATTGCGCAGGCTCCGCCAGGTGGCTGTCCGCATGGCGGAGCGGGGGCGAACGCGGGCGGCGCTCGCGACCCTCCACGAGCGGTGCCCTCTGGAGCGCCGTCCGTTTCGAGTTCGCAACGTCGGCGAGGCGCAGGTCAGGCCGGGTCCGAATGGCGACGCGTTCCCATCGAGCTGCCCGGTTGCACTTCGGCGAAGGCGGGGGATGGGCTTGCCCGCTGGGGCGGGGCCCGCGCTGTCGGGGTGGGCGCCTGCTTAAACCAGGAGGAACCAGCTGCAGCCGCAGCCTACCGCCATTCAGCGTCTCGGCAATCTGCTGCTGGACTTTCGGCATGTTTCTGACGGGGGGCAAGGCCGCCAGCGAGCACCGCAAGGTGGACAACGACATAGTGAAGCATGTGGAAAGGGCTGGCAAGGGTGGTTGGCCGACGAGAGCGCATAGGTCGAGCTCGAGGCCGTTCTTGCGAAGGCTCAGCTGACCCAGGATTTGTTTGTCCACAAGGGACACGAGTTTTGGGTGAAGTGGGTGCAGGATGCATTGCGCGATGGAGGGGGAGCTGCGCGCCGCTTTGCGCGTTTGCGAGGGGCGCGGGTGGCCCCCGAGGCTTCTGATCTGTCCGCGCCGCCAGAGCTTGCAGACATCTGGCGCATCTGGCAACTGCGTGGCGAGCAGCAGATTCCCTTGTGCGCCCGGCACTGTGGGTTTCTGCCCGACGAGGGCTTGGAAGCAATGGCCGAACCATTTAACGCTTGCGAGCGCATGCTGATGTGGCCGCAGCTCAGTTGTCCACGGAGCTGTGCATGCTGCCCAGTGCGAGCGGCGGCGCGAGGTTGGTTGCTCTCCGCGCCACAACGTGGAGGACTTGGGGCCGCGCGAGAAGGCCCATCAGTGCTGAGTGGGAAGTAAATGCCCGCACCCTTCGTTTTGGGGAGGTGGATCAGTCCGCGCGTCAAGAGACTGCGCTTTCCATTGCAATTTAGAAGCGGGGGCAGCATGCGCGCGCTAACAGCAGGTTATCGTTGCATTCATGCACATGTTCAAGTGCTAGGAGACCATCGTGCGTAGCATGCTGATGAACCAAGCACGCTTACTACGGTATGCTGTGCGACTCATGCGGGTGGTTCTTCAATCTAACATGGTGCCGAGAATTGCACGCGCGCATGCGAACGCCAGTACCATGTGCATACCGCGCCAAGGCAGACTCGCGGGCTGCGCGCGCGCCACGGCACTATTACATGTTGTCATGTTCGTGATGCCGGACACTCTGCATGCGCGCTATGATGCGACGCGCACGTGTGCTCATGGGCGATGTCGCGCTGATGTGGCAGGGTGATGATCCAGAGGGGGCGTCTGCACTTAACGCGTGTGTGTGTATGTGTGTGTGTGTGTGCGCTCAACTTCGGGGGCGACTTGTTGAAGTTGGGCCTGGTGCTGCAGCATAACAGGTTAGGTATCGTCGCGACGACTGTTCGTGCTGCTCGGGGGTTTTCTTTGGGAGGTCGGCGCGTGAAACTGAGGCCCAAAAAACGCATCAGGAGCCTCGGGCACGAGCTCCACGGGTCTCGGGTCATGCGGGTCCAGGAGAAGGGGCGCATGGTGGCCCTCAGGGGTCGGCTAAGGAAGGTAAACCTGAAAAGCGCTGCGCGCGAGAAGGTTGGAGTCCTGCGGCGCAAGGGGCTCTCGCCGTCGGTCGGGCACGGCGCGGGCGCGAGCGGCGCCGCAGACGCTGCTCAGGCAGCTGCGCGCACTCGCTGGTAACATGGTTGGTGCTGCCAGACATTCTTCGCTCACGCTCTACTTTGTGGCCCAAGTTGATAATAGTTTTGGTCCAATAATTGATTGCTCATGGTTGCTTGTCAAGACGCGCCGGTTTGGCACGGGATGCCAGCCTTAGATCTCTATTACGCATGGCAAGCGGTGAAGGGTCATTTCACGCAGGTCAAAACCTCATCGGCACATGGCGCGTGGACCTATGGCCTTTGTGTGGCCCACCCTGCACCGGTCGGGGTGGACGATGCTCAGTCCGATGCTGCCACCCGACGGCACTTGCCAGCTGCATGATTTGGCGCACGTGGTGGCGAGGTTCTGTGGCGGCGGGCGACGCGCAAGGCAGTGTTCAATGTGCCAGTGGGACCATCTCGGGGCGCACTGCGACGCCCGTGGTCTGGTGGATTGCTATTCCCTGATAGATGTCACGGGCTAGGGATCGGCGAGTCTCGCGCATGTTTGTCGCGTGGGCCTCCTGGGGGGGCGCTGGCCCACCAGTGGAACGACCGTGAAAATGTTATGGAACAAACTGACCTTCTGCCAAGAGGGCTGCCTGGGCTGGGGCAGACAGTGCCGCGAGACGAGAGGTTCGCGGGGATGATGGCTCTACGCAAGGCGGCTCGGCCTTGTCTGATTGCGTCGGACCATCTCAGCTTTGTGCAGGATGCAAGGCGCTGGAGCCCGATGCTGGCGCATTCTTCGGCGACGCATGCCTCTATTTGGCGGCAGATATTTCAAGACTGCAATGATGATGCTGATGGAACAAGAGGAGGGGAGGGTGGGCGCATTCTATCGGCAACGCTCGGGCGGATTGGTTCGCCTGCGCTGGAGCCGTGGACATACAAGTAGCCAGCGCGTTAGCGGATAACCGCAAGTGTTTTATGAACGCGGCCAAGGCGACGGCGAAACATATGTTTTCTTTTGGATTTTCGTGTTATTCGTATGTATCGTGATCTCGACGTTGAACCGCCGCCGCCGAACCAGAACCCGGGGGTCCCCAAATTTTCGCTTACTGAGCACATTTTTGAATTGGTTGATGATTTGAATGTGCAGTGTGGGCATTGCAGTAAGGAGGCCCGCGCGTCAGTTTCCTATACAACGCTTTTTGGGATCCCGTGCTCCGGACCGCGCCTGTCTTTGCGAGTGCCCATCGGTTGGCCCGATGGGTGTCCGCGGGCATCTGTGAAATATGCGGCCATTCGAGTATGCGCGTTCATACATATACTGAGAAGCTCAAGGACGATTGGTTTGGTCCGCCTGCTAAGAAAAGCACGCTTCCGAATGTCGAATGCTGGTTCGGAGGCTTAGCGCTGGCCGTGGCTCCGAGAGCGGGAACCCCCTCCCATCCGCGCTGGCTACACCTTGCGAAAAGGGGACGCCAGTGCTGCCTCGTCCGTGCTCGATCGTGTCTCGGCCGCCCTCCTCCTCCTCCTCCTCCTCCCTCCTCTTCCTCCTCCTCGTCCTCCTCCTCGTCCTCTTTCCCTTCCTCCTCCTCCTCCTCCTCCTCGTCCTCGTCCTCCTCCTCCTCCTCCTCCTCCTCCTCCTCCTCCTCCTCCTCCCCCTTTCCTCCTTACTCTATTCCTCTTCCTCCTCCTCCTCCTCATCCTCTTCGTCCTCCTCCTCCTCATCCTCCTAATCCTCCTCCTTTTCCTCCTCCTCCTCCTCCTCCTCCTCCTCCTTGTCCTCCCTCTCTTCCTCCTCCTCCTCCCTTTCCTCCTCCTCCCCCCATTCGTATTTTTCGGAGTGTTGGTGGACTATCGGCCCATCCTTGGAGGAGCCTCGGTGATGCACACAACGGAGGGGCGTCGCGAGGGGAGCGGCATTCGAAGGACGGCGGGGGGCTTTTTATAGAAGGCAGGGTCCTTCCAGAAACGCCTGGGTGACTCTGGGAAGGCTTCGAAAAAACCACCTGCCTTGGTCGACGAACGAGGAGCCAGAGGGGGCCCCGCCGCCGAGGGGCACGGGCACGGGCGTCGACGGACGAGGAGCCAGGGGGGCTCCTCTTCTTCCTTTTCCTCCCCCTGCTCCCGGGCCCTGCGGCACCCACGGCGGAGCCTTCCTGGGGGTTGTGCCAGAGGAGGCCAGTCGACTACACGTAAAAGCGGCCCTTCGCCGGAGTTGCCTTTGATGCGGGCCTTCTGGGGCCCCCCGATCGCCGAACGCGATGCGATAGCAGCGTCTTGCCCGAAAACCGCGCACCAAAGGCCACCCATGCCTAAGGTCATTGTCGCATGTAGCCGACTTGGAACCCCCCTCCCCGCCCTCGCAAAAGGCCGCCCCCCTCGCGCGCCCCCCCTTGTGTGCGCCGCCAGGAGCCAGACCGGCGAGCGATGCGCAGCCCTGCTGTCCTGCAGGCGCGCGGGCGAGAGCCGGCGGGGGGGGCGGCGCACACCCGAGGCTGTTAGGAGCAGCGCCGGCGAGTGAGGTCGACAAGCCGCTGCAGAGCGAGGAGGCACGCGCGCGCGCGCATGCGTCGCCCTCGAGACGATATCGGCTGCGCGGGAGGTATCGGCTAGCCTGCCAATTCTTCACGGTTCGCGTATCGTTCAGAGACGTCGTCCGTGAGAGCTGACGGGCACAGGGGCGAAGAGACACGTATAGTGAAGCACACCGGGCAATCAGGGTAAGCAGAGAGATCTCTGGAGTAAGGGGGTGGCCATGGATGGCCTCTTCGGGCCATCCTTGGGGACCGCGTGGGGGCGCGGGAAGGAGGAGGAGGAGGAGGAGGAGGAGAAGAAGAAGGAAAAGGAGGAGGAAGAGAAGGAAGAGGATACAGAGAGCGACGACGCGGACCACGACGACGAGGAACAAAGATAACGATGAGGGCAAGAATGAGGACGACGAGGAGGAGCAGGATACGGACCAGTATAAATTAAAGGGCCCCACAAGGATTCATGTTCACTGAGGGAAAATGCCGCGTTTAGAGACAACCGTTTGAAGATCCTGAAGCGTGCCATCACACAATTCTCGGAACTTAAGCGCCACGAGTCAACTTGAGTGTCGCGTCTAGACGATCCTCAATTGCGCCAGAACGCCGTTCCTGTGATTACAACAGTTGCGCCCTGACAGTCCTGAATCGTTCCGAAACATCACTCCTGGTAATTACGTTAGCCATGGGAATGCGTGAAACTCTTTCAGTTGTTCAAAACGATTGTGCGCGGCTCCACGGCGATAACCACTTTTTGAAAACAGAAGCCCTCAGTCAGTCAGTCAGTCAGTCAGTCAGAAGCCTTGCACCAGACGGTGCGTTAACAGAGATGGAAAACATGGCTTACATGTACCACGCTCGCACGGCCACGCCCAAGCTCGCGCTGCACCGCCCTCCAGGCGGAAGTAATCAGCAAGGCGAGCGGCGAAGCTGGCCACACGCAGACAATTGTTCGTCACCATGTTACCCCAATTCTGTCGGGGCCGGTCTCTCTTCCGAGGTCCTGCTGGCGATCTTATCTCAATGCTGCCAGGTTCAGTCACAGACATGCGCACCGGGTCTGTGCTGGGGCGTCCCGTAAGTTTGGTTATGAAGAGCATCTGCTGTTGACAGATTTTCTCGCTTCAAAGCCGCTGCTCTGCTATGCTCAAGCGTGCTATTCGAGAGTCTACTATAGTATGAATGTGGCACGCGGACATTCGTCCTTGAACATTGGGCTTGAGATGAGTCTATTCTCCGTCGTTCCGCCTGTTTCAGGCATATAGTAAACAAATAATACGTTCATTCAGAACTATGCATACGTTAGAACTACGCACCTTATGGCAGCGGATCAACGCAGCATGCGATCAGATTGCACTCAACACGTTGAAATCTTGCCTGGTCGTTCCGAGTCTACGGTTAAGCTCCGTGCTGCTCCGGCCATCTGCGGACAGCAACGTGCCTAAATCTACTAAGCTGCTGGTTTCTTTCACCGCCTCACCTGGGCCATTGACATGATGAGCTCCGGTGCGAGCGCGCATCACTCCAACTTTGCTCCAATTCAGGCTCAGTCCGTAATGTCGCGCGCATTCCTATGTGCAGGACATCAGATATTGGATGATGTTTGGATTGGCGTCGAGCAGGAGAGTGTCGTCAGCGTACACCAACTCCCTGACAAAATGCGTCTGTGGACCGTTCGGCATGCGCACCTGGAACATGGAATAAGCGTCTGTCAACAACATTGTCATTACGACTGTAAAATGACGCGGTGAAACATCCCTGACACATCCTAAATTGCTGGTTCCGCTCCGCCGACAAGGTGCCCGAATCGGAGACGACGAAAGACCGATCATGGATTCAACCATGTCGACAAATTTCGAGGGGCACCCAACCCTTCGCAGTGAAATTGCCAAGGCGCTGGGCGACACTGAATCCAAGGCCTTTGCCCAGTCCAACGCGAGTAGCAATGACGAACCTTGCTTCGTCGCCCAAGCGTCCTCGAGGATTCGTCTGGGCAAGAATATAGCGCCGCTGGTTCCTCGGCCAGATCTGAAGCCAAATCGGGTGCGCCTGATGCGATCTTCGGCCCCTGTTTGCTTCAACCTTTCCAACCATATCATAGCGAATACTTTGTATCCTATTGGTAGATCGCTGATGGGCCTGTAGTTGTCGCAGTCGCCCTTCTTGTAAACCATAGTAACTCTGGTCTTCCGCCACGCATCGGGCACGCAGGTTTGTGACCACAGAACGTTGCAAAGTCGGGTAACCCAAGAAATTGCGGCCTTCCCATCTTCGGTCACGGCCTTCCAGAACTCCGGTGGCACTTGACCGATTCCAGTTGCGCGCCCAGAAGCGCGGCCTCCCTGACTTCTGACTCCATGATCGCGCCGAGCCTCACGGGTAGTTCCGGATGGATGCTTTCGCTGCTCGGGAGGACCGAGGTCGGACGCACCGCCCCTTGAATTAGTTTGAGACGCTCGGCCAAAGTGTTTGCCCGCTTGTTGTTGTCTACAAGTTCGCCGCTGCTGTCCCGTAGTCTGTCTGGTTGTCGCGTTCGCCCTTTGCGCAGCTTCCGGATCTGCGCCCAATCGCCTTCTTTGGAAACATCCTGCAGCCAGTGGGCCAGGTCGCGGGCGACTGATGCTCGGATCTGTTTTGCAATTGTTTTTTTCTTCCAGCGCGTCCCCTTGGCGTCTTGCCTCCTTTCTCCTTGATGTCAAATTGAAAGTGCAGTTGCTCATCCAGTGGCGTACTGTGGGTTCCTCTGCCCGCCAGAAGCCGTCCACAAGACGAGACCACGCGATGTTCACGTTTCCCTCATCTGGCGCTGCGTCCACACATTGTTCCATCGCTTCGCTGAAGCAATGACCGAAAGAGAGCTTCACTCCAGGCTCCAGCAGTAATCGCATGTCACGCCGGGGATTTCTTTCAACTGGGCCCTCCATCCCAATTTTTCCATCTCGAGTGCGGCATGGAGCAAAAAGTGGTGCGACGACTGCGGTGCATGTGTGAGGGATCTCTCGGCCTTCACGTTGTGCAACCAGGTTTGCTCTCATACGAAGAAGTCGATATGTGAGTGGGTGTGCAATGATACGCTCTCCCCGGCTGAGCGGCCCACATTGTAGCTCGTGGCAAGGCTTTCCAATGGTAGCTTGTAGAAGGTGTTGGCCAAACACATGGTAAGCTGGGGGCACGCCTCCACCAGTGTCGTAGAAAACGGGTTTCGGAACGAGATTTCGGAAGTTGCCTTGGAGGCTACCGGTGACCCGTTTTCTGTACTTTTATTTCGTGCTCGAGCTTTCTATGCGCGGTTTCCATATCGAATTGGAGTTTGATTCGGCTGGTGAACCGTTCCCGGGCGCAAGCCACGAGTAAAAGAGTCACTCTCATTTCCGATATTTGTTTATCTGAAGTTGATTTCTTGGTCACCGACTATTTCAAGAACTCTGACGAGTAACCCCGTCAGGAGCAACACGCGATTAGTAGTGCGGAGCTTGGTTTCAGTGAACCTGACGAGAAATGGCGTCGTCGAGCACGGGCCAGAACGTAGATCTACAGAGGACCCCTACGTGGGATGGCAAGGCGGAGACGCTGGACGAGTACCAGGCCGAGGTGGAGCTTCCTCACTCTCTCGACGAAGGAAGAGGAGAGGAGGCTGCTCGGACCGCGACTAGTTCAGGCTCTGCCGAAGAATACCGCGCACAGGAAGCTGGCCCTGCGACGGCCGCGAGTGGAGGGCGAGGCAGACTCGATCGTCGGAGATCAGGGCCCCGACAACCTGATTAGGGCGTTTCAGAAAAGCCAGGGAAGCAGGCATCGAGTGACGTGGTGGACAAAGTCTTTTCATACTATTATGACCCGAAGACGTCAGGACCACGCGTGAGGAGACTAGGCCAGACGATCGGACTCTACGCGGAGCAGGAGGAAGACGCCTACCAGGAGATGGAGAAGAATGTGCGGGCGATCTGTCCGGGCCTGGAGGATTTGAATCTCGTCCCCGACGAGCTGCGTGGCATCATCTTCTTGGTGAATGCGAACTTAGACCCGAGTGAGCGGGCCACGGTGGTGGCAGGACTACACGACTGGAAGATCGAATTAGTCATCGAGAAGCTGAAGTACGTGTGGGCTGACAAGGACCTGCTGGCGAGGGACAGCCTGGTATCGCGACGTCGTGAACTACGAGTTCCAGGAGGTCGAGATCCTCGTCGGGAGCGGTCCAGGGTCAACTACCAGGAAGACGACATGGAGGAAGAAGCGAGCTACTTCGAGGAGGAAGTCGACGAGGTAGACGAGGCGGACATCCACTACGAGTAGCAGGAGTTCGACGAGGAGGACCTAGAGGCGCTGGAGGCCTACGCCGTGGACGCGGAGGTGTACGCGCAGGACGCTCGCCGGACCTTCACAGAGGCTAAGAAACTGCTGGCGGAGGCGGCGAAGAACAGGAGCGGCTACTTTCCAGTGGTCGGGATCGGCCAGATACCCGAGAAGCAGTTCAAGGATCAGAAGACGATCGACGCGGCGAAGGCAGCGCCCAGGGCTCCACGACCACCAGCACCACAAGGAGGAGAACGACGAGCAGCACGGCCGCCACCAGCTCACCATCCAGCTCCGAGGAGACCTCCCAAGGGTAAGGGCAAGGGCATTAAGTGCCTGATCTGCCAGGGGCCTCATCGCGCCGTGGACTGTCCCAAGCGAGGCAACACTGGCAACGACGGCAACAACGTGCAGATGGCAGCCCAGGGCTTCGTGGATGCCGAAGACGACGACGAGAACAATTACGGCAATGAGGGCAACGCTCCTGAGGAGGGTCAAGCTGGTTGGGTACACGAGGAGATGATCGGATACGCCATCATCGACATGGGAGCCTCGAAGAGCATGATCGGGATCGACCTGGCTGCAGCCATCCAGGGCGCCATCATCGAGGAGACGGGCGAGGACCATGTCACCATGGACTACGCGAAGAAGACGAGGGCCACGTATGCGGGCGGCGAGAAGGGCCAGTCCATCGGCAAGTTCGGCTTCGAGCACCCGGTGGCGCTGGTCGAGGGCGACAACAAGCTTTGGTTCGACCTGGTCGAGACGAAGTCCCCGATGTTTCTGGGTCTGGACTACCTGGAGAAGGCTGGGGCAGATCTGATCAAGGAGAGGTCCGCCCTGGTCTTCGCCGACGGCCGCGAGGAGCCAGTGGTGCAGCTGTCCAGCTCGCACTGCGCTCTCCCCGTGCTCTGACGGGGCCCAGCCGCTGGTTGCGACGACGCCTGCGGAGTGGGGAAAAAACAAAAGTTGCCCGACACATCCAAGAGCCCCTCTCAGAATTTCAGAAGTCAGGCTGACACGAAGGCCTCGCTCCCTAATTCAAGGACCACTGCAATTCTCCGAGCACGCGCAAACTACAGACATATATAAACAAAAAACACACTATCCGAACCGGGTGAACTAGATAGGGTAAGTCATGCACACCAGCACCATCATGGACTCGATAGGTCATGTCATGCACACCAGCAGCCTCATGGACGAGAGAGATCATGTCATGAACATGACCATCCGCCAGGGAACGTGAAACGGAATCCGGGTGCGGTCTCGGGACTTCCGGGAAGACTGCGGCATCGGAAGTCTCGGGTGTGTTTGCGGTTCGTCTCGAAGATCAGGTGCGCCATTCTCCAACATCCTACCCGCCGCCTCCAGAGCCATTGGTGTCAAGCGTGCGCTCCGGGAGGAGCTTTCGCGATGGGCAGTCCGCAGGGGGGATGGGGAGCCAGCGGGCGTCAACGAGATCTCGGACAAGGAGTTCGAGGATTGGGATCTGGTGGGCGGCAGCCGCCCGCCCGACGCCTCGCGCTCATCGGGGCAGCCGTCGCAGCCCGCTGCTGCAGCTGCAGCTGTGGACATGGATCCGGAGATGTTCTTCGAGGATCTGAGGTGCTGGGCCATGGAACTGCGCGCGGTGGCCGACCTGGGCGCGATCGAGGATCAGCGGGAGGCAGCAGCGCGACAAGCAGCTCGGGACGGAACGTTAGCGGAAGCAGCGCGACGAGTCATGGCTGGCAGCATCACGAAGGAGTGATATGGCCTGCTCGCCGAGGCGGAGAAAGCATTAATCAGGGACAACGACCAGGGTATCCAGATCGACGCCGAGATCAGGGAGCTACCGAGCGCGGCGCGCACCAAAAAGAGGGCCAGCGAGAACAACAAGTCGAAGGAGCACCTGCCTACACCTCCAACGTTACCGACATCCGGGGGGCCGACCACGGAAATTCCGAAGACGACCAGCTTCAGCAAGAAGCTACCAAACAACGGGAAGGTGGACCTCCGGGGCTCGAACATCCAGAACATCAACAACAAGAAGGCCAGCCATCAGGAGCCCGAGAGGGACCCGGAGAAGCACAGTACAGGACAGGCCGGACTCAACCGATGGCAGCGACTGGTGATGAGGATTCAATCTCGACGCCGCTGGCATGCTCACGGTCAGCTCATGACGTACAGCAAGAATGGGTGCCCGAAGAAGTTCAGCCCACCCACGGGCTTTGGTCGACATCTGGGCCACTGGGTCTGGCGGGAGATAAGCTACGAGTGGTAGGACAGCTCCCCCAACGAGTTCGTCAGAAAGCACTGCTGGTCGCTTCGCAGATCGACAAGAAGGGCACCAGGGAGCTCAACCAGATGATCACCACCCACCAAACCACCCCAACCCAACCCGAAGGCTCAGATTTACCTTCGATTTCTAATGTGGGGGGGGGGGGGGGTCGGGAAACACAGAAAAAACACGCGTGGAACCCTTACCCCCCCCCCAACCCGAAATTCGGGTCTTCGGGTTGGGTTGGGGTGGTCTGGTAGGTAGCCAGATGACGAGAAAGTGCAGGACATACCTGCTCGGGATATGCGTCCCACCGGACAGCGCGCTGGGAGGCCAGGTGGAAGCTATGGGAGGCAAGGTGACCCGCATGGGCTTGTTCAATTTGTTCGACTTCAGCCGCAAGTCATCGGTCGACAAGGCGAAGGAGCATGTCCGTCAAGAACGACCTCGATGGGCGCATGCTTCACCTCCATGCACTCCATTGTCAGCGTTGCAGAACGGCAGGCCCAACACCGTCGAATCCGTACGAGAAGTTGATGAAGATGAGAAGGTGGGGACGTCGAGTCATGAGGAATGTGCTGGAGGTTCTACTCTACACGTGGAGGCAGTTCGGCACCGAGATCTCCATCGAGCACCCCCTCAACGCCAGCTCATGGAGGAGCATTCCGGAGTTGTTCAACGGATGGGGGCAGGTCTATGAGTCCATCAGCTATGGGTGCGGCTGGGGAATGAAGAGCAAGGTCACAGGAGAACTCATCAGGAAGGGCTGGCGCATCGTGACCACGAATCAGGTGCTGGCAGACCGACTCAGGAGGAGATGCACTAGCGATCATGACCACACCATCATTGAGACAGGCCAGGTCAACGTAGGCAAGACGGCCAGGTACCCCCTCAACATGTGCCGCACATGGGCTGCTACTATCATGGAGGAGGACAACTTCAGCTTCTTCGAGGTGCAGACGGCGTTCGCCCAGGAGGGGACCACCGAGATGAAGGACGCAGAGATCGAAAAGGAGGAGTTGGATAAAGTGGACCCCGAAGTGATATACCTGGCGCAGAAGGAGCTGATGAGCATCCACGCCAACATGAACCACATGGGCGTCAACGCCATGAGGGCCTACTTGACTCGCAAGGGCGCGCAGCCCTGGGTGATCGCGCTCGCCGGAAAGTTGACATGCAGTATTCGTGAGGCTACCACCCGCCGTCACCCCATGCCAGTGGCCGCTGGAATCGACGCCGAACCTCTTGATGTTCTGCAAATGGACGGCTTTGATTGGATTCATCCTGTGACTGAGATCCGCGCGAGGGGCAGTCTGATGATCGATGAGGGATCGGCCAAGCCGGCACCAGTCATCCACTATACGGCCCCCAACAAAGGGAACACGGGAGAGACATAAGCAGCCGTCGTCTGGGAGACTTTCGTCAATGATTGGGCCAGGTACTTCGGAAGACCACTTCAGATCCGCACGGACCCTGCTGGAGCATATCGGTCCAAACAGCTGCGCGAGTGGGCCTCAAGTCGCGGAATAGACTGGGAAGTGGGTCCAGCCGAGGCTCACTGGAAGCATGGACGAGTGGAGGTTATTATCAACCTCTTCAAGGTGGCAGCGACGAGAATGGCTATGGCTGACCCCGAGCGCCCGATCCAGGAGATTTTCAGTTGGTGCGCCGGCGCCTCACCCGATCAAGTTCTCTTTGGCCGACAGCTTCGACCTCTGGATTCACAACTGACAGGGGCAGACGTTCAGTTGCAGGCGGAGAGCACCAAGGGCGCCAGCGCAGAGGTCATGATGAACAGGAGGAAGCAGGCTCGAAAAGCCTTCGCTGAAGCTCTAGCCGATCGCCAAGCTCGACTGGCTGCAATCTCCCGAACCAGGAAGTTCTCAATTTGGGAAACGGGCGAGCTCGTGTTCTTCTGGGTCGAGCCAGGCAGCCGGAGAGACAAGGTAAAGAAGTCGAAGGGTGAGTTCCTTGGACCAGCTCTGGTCGTGAACCAGTTCTACAGGCACGAGAAGGGAGAGGCAACCCCTCGGATCCTTGTCCTGATCTACTACAATAACCAGCTCGTCCTCAGCACGCCTCAGCAGCTACGACCAGCATCAGAGCACGAGAAGTCCCTTTACGCGATCCTTCAGAAGCCCAAGCCCCTGGAAAGACAGCCCGTGATGGGGGCTCTGGACGTAGGAGCAAGATACTGGGATCTTTGCCAACATCAACCACCCGATGGAGTCGACCACGATCGAGATGAACGGCAAGTTCCAGGACGTGAACTAGAGGAGCCACCTGGACCTGCGGCATCAGAATCAGGAGAACCTGACGATGTGGAGATGGAACCTCTGGAAGAGGGAGACGAAGAGCAACTACCTGCGGACGAAGGGCCGGGGAGCGAAGGGGCTCGCGACGCTGAACCGGATCAAGAAATGGCACCTCGCTCCAGGACAGCGTCAGAAGTGCCGATGCCAGACTCACCGATGCCAGAACAACCACCTGTAGTACCAGAAGGACCACCTGAACCGGCACAACGAGCAGCGCCGGACATTTACCACGTTAAGGAGAACCCCCTGCTCAATGACGTGCCGTTCTCCATCCGCATTGACCTCAGGGGTCGGGGGCATCCAGCCGACCCCCCGGAAGCACCGCCAGAGAAGAAGGCAAGGCCGGAGGAGGAGGTCGCAGTGTCCGACATCTTCGCAACCTTGGAGGAGGATAAAGAAGTTTACGTGATGGAGGTGGTACTCGAAGGAGATGTTCCGGCAGCATTCAGCGAGAGACCCAAGCAAGTGTTGAATATGGCAGTGAAGCAAGGTCAGGTGGATGTCAACATGCGAAAGGCGACTCCAGAGGTGAAGTCGATGGTGGCACAGGCGAAGTTGGTGGAGGTCAACAACTGGGCGCACAACGAGGTGTGCCAGGCTGCTCTGAAGAAGGAAGGGGTCAAACCAATTAAGATGCGGTGGCGCCTTATTATGAAGGACGAAGGGGAGGTAAAGGCCCGTCTCATCTTACTGGGTTTTCAAGATCCCCGGCTGGCGACCATCGAGAAGGCAAGCCCAGCGATTTCATCCCGAGGGCGGAATCTGGCTTTACAGCTCATGGCAAATAACAAGCTCAGAATCTTCAAGGGCGATGTCAAGGCTGCATTTCTGCAGGGAGATGCTACTCAAGCGAAACATGATCTACTTGTGGAGCCAGTGCTGGAACTACGTGAAGCTCTACAGCTGGCGGCTGACGGGTGCGTGAATATGCTGAAGGCCGCCTACGGGTTGGTGAACGCCCCCAAGGAGTGGCGCTAAAAAGTGGCAGGCGACCTGAAGAAGTTGAAGTACGTAGCTATGACGCTGGAACCCTGTCTATGGATCATGTACAACGAGCAGGGGAACATCGAGACGGTCATCTTCGTGCACGTGGGCGACTTCGCGATCGGGATCCCGAGCTCCGAGGTGGGCCAGAAGAACCTGGTGGAGGTGCAGAAACTGTACAACTGGGGATCCTGGGAGACAGGCTTCATCACGCAGTGTGGCTCTGAGTACGTCCAGCTGGCAGACTACAGCATCATCCAGAGTTTGGCCCAAGCAGTCCAGACGGTGGAGTACATCGAGTTAAGCAAGGATGAGGCCAAACTGAAGGGCGACACCGCACTGAGAGACCAAGTGCAGAGCCGCATTGGGCAGCACCATGTTTCTGGCATCGCAGGGGGCGGCATGGCTAGCTGGAGAGACGAGTATCCTAGGAGGGGAAGTTCCTACCGGAACCATGGCCACCATCAAGAAGATTAACAAGCTCATTCACACAGCTCACGAGACCGCTTGGATCAACATTCAATTCGCGCCCATGGAGGACCCGATCTTCTTCGCCTGGCACGATGCAGCCTGGAAAGTTCGCAAAGCGGGAGGTTCTCAAGGAGGCGTGATCGTGGCAATGGCTGAGCGCAAAATCTTGGATGGCCACAAGACGGCAGTTTCAGTTATCCAAGGCGCTTCTCGCAAACTACCCCGCGCTGCCCGAAGTTCTTTGAGCGCAGAGATTCAGATGGGCACAATGGCGAACGAGGCTCAGGAGTACGCGAGACTGGTACGAGATGACGACCGGGAAGGCGACCACCTATCACCAGATCAACGACAGCTTGAAGCTCCTGGACGGCACCCTAGTGACAGACTGCAAGGCGATGTACGACAGTGTGGCTCGGGCCTGTTCTTCGGGCTGCGGATGCAACGATCAGAGGTCGGCGATCGAGGCACTAGCGGTGAGACAGAGCATGAAGACCGCCAACGCTACGCTGCGCTGGGTGCATTCCGAGGCAATGATTGCCGACGGTCTGACGAAGATGGATAGTCCAGCCCTGCAGGTCACGCTCAACTTCCTCAACAAGCAGCAGTGGGCGTTGGTGCAGGATCCGAGCTTCACATCAGCCAGGAAGAGGCGGATCCTCAAGAAGGACACTCTAGATGTTCTCGATAGTTCAGAGAGGCCTCCGGTGGTTCCAGATTTTCTTGATTCAGATGCCGAGAGCAACTTCTCAGAGGAACAGGGAGAAATCAAGATAATGATGAACGTGAGTCAAGGTGAGCATTCCTTTTTTGCCACTTCTGTTTCATCCGTGCCCTATCGCCTAGTGTCTGGTTTAGAAGTGTTTTCGACGCGCTGAGGGGATCACTGAACCCCCCGTGTCGTAGAAATCGGGTTTCGGAACGAGATTTCGGAAGTTGCCTTGGAGGCTACCGGTGACCCGTTTTCTGTACTTCTATTTCGTGCTCGAGCTTTCTGTGCGCGGTTTCCATATCGAATTGGAGTTTGATTCGGCTGGTGAACCATCCCCGGGCGCAAGCCACGAGGAAAAGAGTTACTCTCATTTCCGATTTTTGTTTATCTGAAGTTGATTTCTTGGTCATCGACTATTTCAAGAACTCTGACGAGTAACCCCGTCAAGAGCAACACGAGAACCAGCAGATGCCGGTTGGCGTCCGGCTTACAATCCACGCCAAGGGATGCAAACACAAGCGGCCTTACCACACTCGATTCGCCGACAAATTGCTGGTATAGCCTCGCGCTCATATCTCCCAAGATCAGCTTAGGTCCGTGTGCCGACGACTTGTCCGCCAAATCCGAGAGTTCGTTGAAGAATTTTGGTTTGCCTTTCAACGAATTCGTTACCCGTGTGGAGCGCATGCTGAAAATAGAGCGGCTTCACCGCCAGGAGCCCGTAGATTCAGCGATGTCAATTTGGATGTCATTTGGAGGAATGCAGTACTGGATCTTTGTGCACGCGGCGCAGCTACGGAAGCCCACGCCTGCTCGATCCTCGTCTTCGTCTGCTTTGTTCTCAGCGCGCCCCTGTTAGCACAACGAAGTGCCCCCGTGTCTGTGACATGTCTCCTGACTGCATACATCAAAGTTCCTTCGTTCTATGATGCGTTCAAGCTCCACTCGCTTTGGAATGGTGTGCCCCTCGATGTTCCACGAACCTATCGTGAATTCGGAACTGGAGGGGCGCAGCCGGCCGCCCCAGGCTGCAGCAAGTGGCGTCTTGGCTAAACCATTCGTCCCAACGTGTAATTACTGCAGTAGTGTCAGGTGTTGGTTGGCACGCCCGGCATAATGACAGGGCTCCAGAGTTCTGGTGTGAAACGTCTCTGCTATCGCCCCGCTGGCACCCCTATTTGCTGTGCTGTCCGCTGCGTTTCCCTGGAGATTTCCCCTTGGCCCCTATCTTCCCCACGCCCTTGGAAGCGACAGTATCGATCTTGCCAGTAAGCTTAGACATGAGGTTGAGGAAACCGGGATACGTTGCATCTGTCAACCAAGACTCCCAAGCCTGACCGTAAGCTACGTTGAGTTTGCCTCCGTCGATCGTCGCATGGGCCATCATCTCCACACCTAGCCAGACTTTGTCGTCATCGGGGTCCGCCCAGATCGTCTTCGCTTCGTACCCCCATTGCTTCAAGAAGTACTTCAAGCCGAAAGCGAATGAGGTGATGACGCGCTTGTGGAGGGGCTGGTCCGCTTTCGCCCAGACTTTGTTTCCCCCTTCCTGGCACGACGCTTTGCGAAACAGGCCCACAACTGTGTCTCGGTCCCCCATGCTAGGAAATTTAAGGAATGCCACGCCCCGGAATTCCCCTTTAGTGTACACATCTTCCGGCTGTGGGCCATACCCGCCCCAGAGTTTTTTCCCAACCACTCTTTCACCTCCCCCAAGCCCCAAAGCGACTGCAACCCTCCAATTACGACTGTTTTGTCGACGTCCCGTTTCGGGTGCTGGTAATTAGGCCGCACTTTTGAGCATCGACACCTCCATCTCCAACGCCTTTATCTGGTCCAAGACCTCCAGGCTCATGCTCTGCTCGGATCTCGGGGTTCCCTGATCAATGTGATATTCGAGATTCGTGATGCAGGTGTTTACGTCCTCCATCTTCTCCTCCAATGCCCCCATCCTGGCCTCGATCGCCTCTCCCCCATGCCTGAGATCTTGCTCGCCTTCTGCAAGGGTTTCACCTCCTGTCTGAGCAACGCTGCGATCTCCTGCAGGCCTGGAGGTTGGGAGGCGCTCCCGCTGCGAGCATTCGAGGGCGTGTCGGGGACCTGCGGCGGCGGGCTGATGCTGACCTCCTGCGGCGGGCCGTCGTCCATCTCGTGCAGTGGACTGAAGAGCCGGCGTCGAAGGTAATTCTCACGTTCTCCTCCAATTGGAGTGCCGGGGATGCGAGTGCGCTTCGCAGCATCGGCCATGGCAGCATTGGATTTGTACGGGTATGTGAATGGAAAGGGAATAGTTGAGCGGGGGCGGGGGTTGACAATAGCGGATATGAGCGAATTTGAGCCAGATGGACTTGAGCCAATTGGGCTTAAGGCCTCAATCCGTGAAACTCTTGCATTGTTGTTAAACGAATGTGCGCGGCGCTACGGCGAGAGTCACATGTTATAAACGACCCGACCTCAATCCGTGAATATTTTGCAATTGGTTCCGACGAATCTGGTCGGCGCTCAGGCGAGAGCTACACTTTGAAAACGACCCGCTCTCAATCCGTAAAGCCCTTGCAACTTTTTCAGACAATGCGCAGCGCTCAGGCGAGAGCCACATTTTGAAAACGATCCGCCCTCATTTTGCAACTTTTTAAAGACGAATGTGTGCGGCAGTAAGGCGAGAGCCACGTTTTTAAGACCACCCGCCCTCCATCCGTGAAGCTGTTGCCAAGTTTCGAGCTTCAGGATCATCAGTAGTAAGGAAGTTTCAGGCGAAACGCCCGGCCCGCCCTTTCGACCAGTCTCGGGGTGAGACTGGGAGGAGTTATCTAGACAGAGAAGGAATGGAGGAGGAGGCGGAGGAGGAGGAGGAAGAAGAGGAGGAGGAGAAGAACAGCGAGTACGAGGACATAGCACTCACCATCGCCTCTTGGAGCCCTCTTTGGACTGTGTTGGGTGATCTTTGGGTCCTCTTGGGGCTCTTTTCGGGGGTCTTGGGGCCCTCGTGGGCTCCTGGGGGGCTCTCTTGGGGCCCTCTTGGGGCTCTCTTTGGGGCCTCTTGGGGGCCTCTTGGGAGCCCTGGAGGGCCTCTTGTGGCTACCGTGGAGGGCGTCGGTGAAAAGAATGAGAGGGGTCGTAACGTTTGGCCCCCATTTATGGGGCCCTCTTAATCGCCTCTTGAGGCGCTCTTGGGCCGCTCTTAGGCGCTTTTAGGGCTCTATGGGGGCCTCTTGAGACCTTCTCCTGTCTCTTGGGTTACCTTGGGGCACTCTTGAGGCCTCAAAAGCGCATCGAAGGCGAAAAGACGAGACGAAGGATTTTGGCCTCTTGGGGGGTCCTGAGGGGGCACATGGAGCACTCGGAACCGTCTCGTGGCCCTCGTCGGGCCTTTTGGAGGTATGTTTGGAGACCACGACTCCTACTGTTGGTATTATAACTGCGACCACTACTACGACTTAACGACGACGACAGCGACTACTATTTCGGCGACTACTGCTACGAATTCTTTGTCTATGTCTACGATTACGACTACGGCTACGACTACTACTACTGCTACTACCACTACCACTACTCTTTCTACTAACACCATTTGTAGTAGTAGTATTACTACTACTACTACTACTACTACTACTACTACTGCTACTGCTACTACTACTACTACTGCTACTACTACTACTACTACTACTAGTACTACTACTACTACTACCACTACTACTACTGCTACTACTACTACTACCACAGCGACTACTACTGCTATTCGTATTACTACTATGAGCAGTACTGCTACAACTATTTCGATTACTACTATATTCTTACTACTGCAGCTACGTCTACGATTACTAGTAGAAATACGACTGCGACCACGCCTACGACTACGATTTCGGCTACGACTGCGATTCCTACAACTACTACGACTACAAGTACGACTACGACTACTATTGTTGCTACTTCTATTGTTACTACTACTATCACAGTTACTACTACTATTACTACGACGGCTACTATTACTACCATTATTTTCTTAGTACGATTCCGGCTACGACTATGCTACGACTACGGCTTCGACTACGATTGCGATTGCGACGACGCCGACGATGACGACGACGACGACGTCTACCACTACAACTACCACTACTGTTTCTTCTTCTACTACTTCTACTACTACTACTCCTATTACGACGATTACTATTACTACTATCACTACTACGACTATTTCTGTTACTACTACTACTCTTATTATCGTACGTATCACTTATTATGTTGCTACGGCTACTACTTCTACTATTGTTGCTACTACTGCTACTACTACCGCCGCCACTACTACTCTACTACTAGAACTGCTTTCTGCTATGACTACTACTGCTACTGCTGCTACTGCTACTACTACGGCTACTACTGCTACTATTTCTGCTACTACGGCTACTACTCCTGCTACTATTACTACGACTACGAATACTGCTACTACTACTACTACTACTACTACTACTATACTACTACTATTACTACTACTACTACTACTACTACGACTACTACTACTACTACTGCTACTACTGCTGCTACTACTACTGTTACTACTAATACTACTACTACTACTACTACCACTACTACTACTACTACTACTACTACTATTACTACTACTACTACTACTACTACCACTACTACTACTACTGCTACTGCTACTGCTACTACTACTACTGCTACTGCTACTGCTACTGCTGCTACTACTACTACGACTACTACTACTACTGCTATACTACTACTACTACTACTACTACTACTACTACTACTACTACTACTACTACTACTACTACTACTACTACTACTACTGATACTACTACCACTGCTGCCGCTGCTACTGCTACTACTGCGACTGCTACTGCTACTATCATTAGTATTACTACCACTACTACTGTTTCTATCGTAGACGTCGTGGTCGTGGTTGTCGCCATCGCGGCGGACATGATTGTCCATCTATTATTGGGTTGGCTGGATAGTGTCGGGGGCTTCTTTCTCCTAGGGCATATTCCTATGAGGGCTACCCTACACTCGAGAGGAGTCGCGAGCATCTTCCCACGAGGGCTGCAAACATTCTTGACCGAAGGCGTTGATCACACTCTTTCTGAGGATGGAGCTTCCGAGGATGGAGTTTCTGAGGGCCCTCGTGGGGCGCGAGCTCCAACTGAACTTCTGAAGGTGGAGCTTCTGAGGATCGAGTTTCTAGGAATCGGGTTTCTGAGGTTGGATTTTCCGTGTGAGCGCTCCTGAGGCATATGCATTAGTAAACGTCGTAGTCGTAGTCGCAATCGCAGTTGTCGGCGTCGTTTTTGCGCTGCGGGCGCCGCGGGAACAAAAAAAACTAGTTTCCGTTTATATTGGGCCATTGGTTCACCACGGTCCGTGAATACGTCCGCCGAGAAATTGATTAGTTACCCCCAATTCGGGGGGAGTTCTAAAGACTTGCCGCGCTTATCGCCATGTTTTCATGATTTCCGGGGCTGGGCACGAGTTGTAGCTGTGACTTATCGGGGTTCAAGTTCGTGTGTTATTTGGACGATGAGTTCTAGGGTGAGATCGTCAACAGCATCAACATCATTGGAACCGCAGACCTTCACATCATTGCAGTTGCCGTTGCTTTCATTGCGCTCACCGCCAACGAGTCGTAAGCGTGGTTGCGTGATCGTTTTCCTTTCTTTGTTTCGTGCAGCCGCTGGCGTATGCTTTGAAGACAATCTCCGGTTTTTTTGACGCTGCCACTTGCTCTACGCGGCCCTTGGGCTCGAGCACGCCGACACCGCAGCTCAGAGGAAGTCTTCTGCGCACCAGCAGTTTCCAGCCGTCCCGCACTCCCCCGAGGTCGGCCGCCCCCCCCGCTGCCAGATGGCAGCGGCTGCCTGCGGCGCCCCCCTCGCCACGAACGCTGTGCTCGAGAGACAGGTGCCCTCTCCTCTCTCCTCTCCTCTCCTCTCCTCTCTCCTCTGCGACGGCGACGACCACTGACCTGGCAGCCCTGAGGGCCCCTGCGCGCCTTCCCTCGTCTGACATTCTCCACGGCGCGGCACGGCCCGCTCCGTCACCGCAGCGGTCCTGTGCGAGGCTCCCGCAGGCGCGCTCCTGGCGGCCGTCGTTTTCGAAAGGTCGGTGATTAGTTCGGCGGGTGTCGAACGAATCTGGGTCTTCAGGAAGAAGGGACTTGCCAGAGCGCAGTGCGAGAGTGGTCAGGATGCCTCCAGAGGCCTCCGAGTGCAGAAGCCTCCCTGGGCCCCCCAGGCATTTCCCCAGGGCCCTCAAGGGATCTCCTAATGCCTGTGGGCCTCACAGATCTTCCTGGAATGGCTTCCTGGTTCATCAGGGCTTCCCGGGGAGCTTTCTTGCGTTTTCCTGGGGCGTCCGAGGTCCTCGTAGGGGCCTCGACGAGGTCCCAGAGGCAGGGCCCTCTATACACCTGCGTTTTCGGCTTTTTCGGTTTTCTGCTGTTCGCGGAAGCTTCAGGGACGAGTGACGATAGGTGTTCTAGACTTAGCCCAGGCTAAAGACAGAGCGGCTCTTCTCTGCAATACTATTCTTCGATATCAGCAAGGGACTACGTCGACAGAGCGAAACTAGGTTCTGGAGTGCGCCCGATGTTGCCCTTTCGGTTGGGTCGTGCTCCCGAGCTCTCCTCCCCCCTCAATTGTAGGTTCGATATTTGTTTGTATCTGTTGAACTCGTAATGTCTCTTCCTGGGGGGTCCCCCCCGTAATGCTACGGGCAGCAAACGTACAGGTGGGGGGGGGTCACCCACAGGTATGGCGCCGTGCTCACAGGCACTGTGGGGTGCTGACATCGGAGGGCCTCCGGACGCCTCCAGAGGCGGCCGTCGTCGTCGTCGTCGTCGTCGTCGTCGTCGCCGTCGTCGTCTCCGAGGGTCTCGGAGGTCGTCCAGACGCTTCCAGAGGCGGCCGTCGTCGTGGCGTCGTCGTCGTGGCCTCCCCCCCGTAAGGGACGCTCTGGGGGGGAATTAAAAACAATCTCTTTGGTTTCTATCACGCGTTTGTCAGGCTGCTCTATCTGTCGGCAGTTGCGGGCACTTTCACTCCAATCTGGTGCGATGTACCATCTGCGTTTCGCTTGCAAGGGGCAGCGGAGTCTCCCTTCTGCCATGATTTGTTGTGTTGGGAGTCAAGTGTTGGCCAGCCGTCAACAAAAGATAGCTTTGTGGGGCTTGAACACTTGCCAAAGGATTTACTCTCTTGTGAGCTGAGTGGTGCAAGCTACGTGTTGTAAACTGTGTGGTGCAATGTGTGGTGTAAGCAATACTATGTCAGCTACTTGATTACCCTATTACGGTCTGCGGTGCAGGGTATGTGGTGCAAGCTATGCAGTGTAACATGTGCGGCGCAGGCTGTGTGCTTTCCGCTGTGCGGTGCAGTCTGTGTCGTACAAGCTGTGTGGTGTAAGGTGTGCGGTGTCCGTCAAGGAGGAGGAGGAGCAGGAGGAGGAGGGGGAGGAGGAGGGGGAGGATGAAGTGGGGGAGGAGGAGGAGGAGGAGGAGGAGGAGGAGGAGGAGGAGGAGGAGGAGGAGGAGGAGGAGGAGGAGGAGGAGGAGGAGGAGGAGGAGGAGGAGGAGGAGGAGGAGTGGTGCGAGCTGTGCGGTGCACTTTCTGTGGCAACAGCTCTGCGGCCGCCCGGTGCACGAGGCGCTCACGGGCGGCCATGCGCGGGCACCGGGCGCCACGCGAGGCTTCGCCACACCCGCCCGGTGCGCGAGGTGCCCACGAGGCGCCCACGAGCGGGCACCAAGGCGTAGCCTTGGCACCGCCCACCCAGCGCACGAGGCGCTCACGAGGCGCCCACGGGCGCCAGGCGCAGCACCGGCACGCCCATCCAGGCACGAGGCGTCCATGAGGCGGCTACGGGCGGGAACCCACACTCGCCCGGCGCCCATGAGGCGCCCGCGGGCGGTCCTGGGCGGGCACCAGGCGCAACCTCGGGGCGTCCCTGGGCACTCGTCAGCCGGGCACCAGGCGAAACTCCGGCACACTCCATCTCTCTCTCCCTGTCTCCCTGTCCCTCCCATCGTGGTACCCTTTGGCTTCCCCAATGTGGGCTTGCGCGTCTCGCTGTCGGATGGCTTGGGACGACTGTGGGGGGATTGTCTCGCAGGGGGGCCAAGTCGAGACAACGGCGGCTCTCCTGCTCAAGATCGGTCCTCGGACCCCGCCCAGAGCCCAGCCTGATCCGTTTCTCGAGGAGGGTTTCCGGCCCTGGCGTTCTGATGTCCCAACCTATTTCAGCCCTGATCACCAGAATGCTACTTTAGCCCTGATCACCATAATGAAGTTCGAGCACCAAGAAAACACCAACATTGGAAGGTTTTCACGTGTCGGGCCCTGGGAGGCGATTTCTGGGTGCTCGAAATTATTTCTGGGATGTGGTCCTCAAGTACGATGGGAACAACATAATCCTGGCGATGAGGCCTCCAGGAGACCCCAAGAGCACGAACAGCGCCGTGGAGGGCCGCGTCTGGACCCCACATTTCAGTCCTCGTCTCGCTGTCGGATGTCTGCGGCACCGTAACGGGTATTCACTCACGGCTACTCTCTGGGAAGTTGCCGAGAGTTGCCACTTTAGGGACTCTCTCTCTGACATTGCAGCGTTACCCACATCGGGGAGGGTTGGGTTCGCCGGATCACTGGCCGAAGTGCCCGTCAGTGGAGTCCCAGTTAAAGTCGGAGGTTGATAGACCTCCTACACTGACACTTCGATGAGTGACTTGATCGTTTTCGGTTCGCGAGAGGGCGTCACGACCGTTATTTTTGCGGGTCCAGGTCCGTCGTTTTCGGTCCTAGGCCGTTCTCACTAAAGGGTGGTTTACAAAAGGGAGGTTTGTCCACCGCCGATGTAGGGGCGCAGAGGATGGCTGTCGGACGACTGTCGGGTGTTTGCCAGACGGCTGTCGGGTGAGCCCTGCTGGATGCCCTGGCCCGGCCGTGGCAGGTGCGGCCAGACGGTGGCCAGGACCCCGCTGCTGGCGGCGGCCCTCAGCGGGGCCCCGATCCTTCCCGCAGCGCATGTTGGCCGCTGGCCAGGGCAGGGGCACGAGGGTGAGGAGGAGGACGAGCAGGAGGACTGCTCGGACTACTTGAGCGCGGACTCTGTCCTTCTTCTGCTTCTTCTGCTTATTCTGCTTCTTCTTCTTCTTTTAGACTCTGCTTACATCCCATGCCTTGGGTGCCCATGGCACGCACGGGAAGCTGAAGAGTGATTTGACGCACTCAGCGACATGAAGCACGTTCCCGCCAGGAGGGGTCTCGGGACGGACGCTGCCCAACCGACCTGATCGAGCGCGCCTCTTGGGCGCACTCTTGTGGCGTCCCTTGGACCCCACGTCTTGGGCGCCCCGGGTCCCGAACCAGGCCAGGCCTGGCGGAGGGCCGCGGGAAGGAGCTCCGCTCACTCTGCTCCACCAGGGGAGCAGCTTCCTGTTCAGGCTGGTGCACTCTGAAACTCGTCTCGGGCGCGGAGGGCTTCTAAGATCGCTTTGGGGGTGCACTCTCGTGACGTGGAAACAGGTATTGGCGAGACGGGCGAGGTTCTCCGAAACGTTGGCGTACGCGGCCGACATTGACCAGTAAGATTCCTGGGATTGACGGTCATGAGCACAAACTTAAAGCAGCTATTTTTCCACAACCTGGAGCTCGTGGGAGGTGCGCATGCGCTCGGTAAACCCGCGTCCTGTGACATTCGGCGCAATTTTGTCAGACGAGTGTGCGCGGCGGCGGTAGGCGAGAGCCACATTTTGAAAACCTTCCTTTTCCCATCCTTGGAACTCTTTGCAACCTGAGACGAGTGTGCATGGCGTTAAGGCGAGGCCGCATTTTGAAACTGGCCCGCCCTCCAATTCGTGAAACTTCTGCAAAGTTTGCAGACGGATACGCGCGGCGCAAACGCGAGAACCAACTGTTGAAACAGATCCGCCCTCTAACCGTGCGTTTCTTGCAGTTTGTAAGACGGGTGCGCGCGGCGTTCAGGCGAGAGCCACAGTTTGGAAACGATCCGCCCTCGAAGTTGTTGCTCATATGATCGCATCAGGATCACACGTGGCAGGGAATTCTCGGGCGAAACGCGCTGCCCCGCTCTCCCGACTGGCCTCTGGGGTGCGGCTGGGAGAAATTCATCATAACAAAAAGGAATGGAGGAGGAGAAGGAGGAAAGAAAGGCGGAGAAGGAGGAGGAGGCGTAGAGAGGAGGAGGAGGAGGAGGAGGAGGAGGAGGGGGAGGATGAGGAGGAGAGGAGGAGGAGGAGGAGGATACGCAGGAGGAGGAGAGGAGGCGTAGGAGAAAGAGGTGGAGGAGGAGCAAGAGGAGGAAGAGGAGGAGGAGGAGGAGGAGGAGGAGGAGGAGGAGGGTAGATCAGGGTAGATCAGAAAGTAGAGCATGCTCCCTCGCACACTGGCGAAGTGTGCAGCTTTGAATCGAGACCGTCCGCGGAAGCCCGCGCGTTGGCCAGGTCACGCTCCGCGCAGGAAAGTTCCGTTGTAGCAGCGCCCCGCTGCAAATGAGCCGTGCGCAGCAATGGTGGAACCCCGCTTTGGAGGGCTTCTCCGAAGGGCTTAGGCGACCCGTCCTCCTCCTCTTCCTCCTCCTCCTCCTCCTCCTCCTCCTCCTCCTCCTCCTCCATCTCTTCCCCCTCCCCCTCCGCCTCCTCCACCTCCTCCTCCTCCTCCTCCATCTCTTCCCCCTCCCCCTCCGCCTCCTCCTCCTCCCCTCCTCCTCCCTCCTCCTCCTCCTCCTCCTCCCCCTCCCCCTCCCCCTCCCCCTCCGCCTCCTCCACCTCCTCCTCCTCCTCCTCCTCGTCCTCCTCCTCCTCGGGTCGCCTACGGCCCCGGGGGAAACCGTGCACCCCGCCCCGCGCTGGCTGGCACCTCCCGCTGCACCTGGTCCGAAGTGTGACAGCCCACGCGATGGCCGAACCACGGCCCACGCTGGCTCGGGCAGTTCCCGCTGAAAGAAGCGATGGAACAACTAGTCGCTGGCCGAACCTCTGCCCGCGACTCGAGGCGCGCCATGGCAGACTCAAGGGTCGCCCGAACCGCATCCGAGACAAACTGCTCCCTTCGCCTGCGGGACCAGGCCCAAGACCAGAGCGGCCTCGCCGCCCAGCGCCTGCTGCAGAATGCACGAACGGACGAAGCCGCGCCTACAGTGGAGGCCAGTCCACAAGGAACCTTACACAAGAAACCCGACCCTGAGACCCCAGGACGTCCATACATTTTTGGTGTGGGAACGTCACGCTTTCCATGGCAAAACCATCGAAGCCCAAGAAACTCAAGGCACCCTGGAGGCAAGCAGGGTGTTTCTTGGCATGGGTCTCCACTGTAGACGGCGCATTGGCCAACTAATTGGTAACAGATGCGATCGGCAAACATGCAGGGCTCGAGCGTGCAAGCGCGCGCGAATATCGCCGGGCCTCGGATGGAAGTGCACAGGCGTGCTGCTCTGGAACGCAGGGCTGCCGGTCTGCTGCAGCGTCGCCCTGAGCTCGCCGGTATTATTCAGCCCGTCATCCGTAGGCCCCATCGTCCCCAGCTGCATCTTCGGCAGCCCAGCCTTCTTGCCCTTCTTGCTGTTCTTGTCCTTCCTGCCCGCCTGCTGCCAAAGGAAGCAACGACGCCGCCGCCGACGCCGACGACGACGACGACGCCGCCGATGCCGACGCCGACGACGACGACGACGCCGACCCGATGGCCCCATGCGAGCTAAGGCTGGGGCGCCTCGTCCCGCGGGGGGCGACGCTGCTGCCGCGGCGGCGCCGCGGGCTGCGAGGGCGACGACCCGTTCGTCGCGGCCCTCCTCACGCTGAGCGACGCGTGGCAGCTGGTCTGCAGTGCCAGCGGGGGGGAGTCCCAGGCTGGGCCTGCGGGCCTACGCAGACACCCGGCTGGGACGAGGACGAATCCGTTCCAGAGCGTTCGGGGACGCTCTCAGAGCGTTGTGGAAGGCTCTGAGAAGGCCGCGGCGCCAAAGCCATCCTCCAGAGCCGCGGGATCTCAGAGATTCCCGTTTCTTGTTTTAGCCTCACCCGAATTTGTCCCTTGTCCTGGCTTCGTCTGACATGTTCGGTGCGCGGCCCGGGAGGTCCTGAGCGTTGCCCCAGAGGTCCGGGTTTTCGTCCCAGAGTTGTTTTTGGGATGGCCCTGGGTCCCGATCGCGGGCCCCAGAGGCAGACATCGAGCGAGCACGCCTGGATTGAGCAAAAATCAGCTCGTCGGAGGTCTGGGGGGGGGGTCACTGCTCGTTCAAATTTCAAAAAAGGCTTCTCTCGGCTCCGCCAGCGTGCTCGCCCTGCCCTTCGCATTGCTCCCCAGCACGCCCATGGAGACTTTCATGGCCCTCCCCCCCGCCCCCTCTGGCCGCCTCGCGTTAAGTCGGACATGTCCCTTTACAGGAGGAATATCCAGAAATAGTCCAACCATAGTCTGGGGACGATTTCTGGACTAGAGCATTTTGGTCGTAGGTTGTTTTGGCTATTTGTTTTAGTTGTCCTCCAAACTCCGCCTGCAGCAGGGAACACGCCCGACCTGACCCCGGCACGCCCATGGAGACGCTCCTGGCCCACGCTCGGAGGGCACCAACTATACACCTACACCGATCCTGGCCAGGCCGATCCTAGGCCCAGGATCGGTGTATATGCATTCTGCCCAAGGCAGGAGGGCGTGTACATCGATCCTGGGCCCAGGGTGATCCTGGCAAGGATTGGTGTTGGTGTATAGTTGGTGCCTTCCTACACGCCCCCATGGATCAGGAGGGAAAAAAACACACAGACACAATTAATCGTCGATCCCCTGGAAAATATAGGAAAATATGGGAATTGTGCGGGAAGACAAAAACCCAGAAAATATTGAAAAATATGGGGAATCATTTTATTTGTGTGTATTTATTTGTGTGTCCTTGGGCCCCTTGAATGGAGACGCTCCTGGCCCCACGCCCCCCGCCCCCCCTGGCCGCGTCGCGCCTCTTCGCGCCCTCCGCCCGTCGTGCCCCGCTGTGCTCTGGCCCGCCCCGCCGCTGCCCGACCGCCGCCCGGCTCTCCTGCGACCGCTGGGAACAGAGCGCCGTCTCGGTCGAGCTCGGGGCACGTAAGCGTTACTCCAGATTTCGTAATACAGGGAGGGGGGTCTCATTTCGGGGGGGGCCTCTTCCAGGCCATCTTGGAGGGCCTGGGGGGGGGTCTGGGGACGGTGTGTTGGAGGGTTCTCCCACGGGGGGGGGTCTGAAACGGCTTGTCTTGGGGGGTCCAGACCCCCTCCCTTTTATTACGAAATCTAGAGTAAGCGTTATGCTGTTCCAGCTCACTCCAGCCCTGGTCACCAGAAACACGTTCGAGCGCCAATAAGGTACCGAAGCTGCAGGGCTTTCGCGCGTCGGGCCCTGGGAGGCGATACTCTGTCCGACACCGTTTCGGGACTTTTCTGGGTGTTCGAATTTATTGTTGGCATGTGGTCCCTAAGTACGATGGGGGCAACCGAACTGTAGCGGCCTCCTGCCCTTCCGTGGCCTCGTGGCGTGGTGTCCGAGGATCCTCGCTGGAGGGAGGCATCAGTGGTCCGCCGTGCTTGCGGCCGCAGCTGCCTTCCCTCAGCTGGTTATGTTTTCCTGCTGTATGCGTGCATATGCATTAATGTGTTCTCATGCGTGTGTATTCTTATACAGATACACACGTCACATGCGTATGTCATGTGTATATATGCACACACGTTCCAGTTAATGTTTGCACTCAGGGCATCTTGCATGTTTTCGACAGAAAAATAGGCTCGTTTGTCGGGTCCGCCGCCTTATTGCCGCCGTCGTCGCCCTGTCGCCGCCACGTCGCCGCCCGTCGTCTGGGCTCGTGGGTCGTATCCGCCGCCTTGATGCCCCCGTCGCCGCCCGTCGTCTGGGGTCGTTTGTCAGGTCCGCCGCTTTCCTGTTGCCGTCGCCGTCACCATGGCCGCCGCCCCGTTGCAGCCCCCCCCAGTTGCAATCCAATCGATTGCCAACACCACATCGAATCTACCCCCCCCGGCTTTATCGGTGCACCTTTCTGTGTTGCAATTTGAACATGATTTTGCCCCATCGTCCATCTCTTATATGAACTCATACCATCCCAGCCCAGCCGGGTTCGGCCCTCCCCCCCGTCGTCCTCTGCATTAATTTTACGCGCGCGCATTCCTCAAACACCAACAGTTTCCAGACATCCTTTCGCAACAAATGTGACGAAGTTCACACGCGCGCGCCGTCGCGCGCGCATGCCGAAATTTTTGAACAAGCTCAGGTTTCGGAGGAATTTCAATATCGAGTGTCCAAAACACATTCGAACTGTATAGTTTCGCAGCACGGACTTGCAAACAAACGAATGACCAAAAAGCACGTGCCCGCGCGCACTTGCGAATTCTCCAGACAACTGTAGTTGTTGTTTTCCAACATGGTCAGGAAGTGCTACCACACGGGCTTCGCGCGCGCGTATCGAAATCGTGCGAACGCCTTAGCGGTAATGCCGTCGCGAAAATCCATTGCAACAAATGGGGCGAAGTGTGCGCGCGCACGTTGTCGCGCGCGCGTGCCGACAATTCCTCAAAACCTCAGGTTTCGTAGCGGTTTCGACACCGCATGTCCAAACAACTTTTCAACACATGGCTTCGCAACAACAGTTTTCAAGAACACTTAGGCGCGCGCGCTTGCACATTTGTAGGAGAACCACCAGTTCTTCAATAGTTTCATTAAATTCTGCCAGGCGGGCCTCTGGCGCCGCATGCCGACATCAATCGCACGCCCTTTGCGCGCGTGCTGGGGGGCACGTTTCGTGCCAAATAACATGATGCGGGCTACTCTCGCGCGTAGGCCGCGGCGCGCGCATATCGACTTCTGTCCAGCACTTTCATTCCCGACGCGAGGGTGCCGTCATCGTCGTCGGCGTGATCAGCATCGGCGCCCGTAATGGCCGCGCCGTCGTCGGTGCGAACATCGTCGCCAGCATCGCTACTATCATCATCGTGTCTACTGATGTCGGCGTTGCCATGATTCCGGCGGTTGGGATGCGCCCAGCGGTCAGCGCCACCGCGGCCGCGCTGGTGGCGCCGAACTAGCTGGCCGCTGCGCGCGGGCATGCTAGGGTTGGCGCGGCCGCAAAGATGCACCAGCCGGCGCCAAGCATGCATCGCAACCGCCACCGCATGTGCTTTGCAAACCAAGTTGTGGGTGGCTGGGTGAGATGTTTGCAAGCACATCGGCTGTGCCAGTTCGTTTGTTAAAATCAATTGCGCCACGTAGAATGTTCCGCATAAGTTACACGACTTAGATAACACATCATAAGTTGCGCAGCGTATATTGCACCTCGTCGTTTGCACAGCATTGATTGCACAATTTGTATGTGTGTGCATGTGTGAATATCTATACAGTGCATCCGTGGCCTGCCCTTCCGCTGCGTCGCACTGTTTGTGATGCCTCCTCTTGAAGCAGATTTGACTGCGTAGAGGGCCAGGTTGCGCTTGCCTCCTCGAGGCCGGCCGTTCTCGCTGCCCTTGCCACGGTGCTCAATCGGGCGCTTCGCCGCGATCTTCGAGGCACAATGCTCCGCTTTTGTAAGAGGCGCTTGAAGCGGACCCCCACCAGACATGAGTTCTGCGTCTTGGGGATCTCTTCGCCTCTTGGACCACTTTTGGTCTTCGAGGCCTCTTGGGCCGACTTGAGGCCGTCTTGGGCGCGTCGGGGCACTCGTGGGTCTTCTCGGAAGCACACTCGGCCCTCTCGGGCGCTTTTTGGGCCCATGTTTGGCCGGCTGCGCTGCCGGAGAACGCGTGCGACACGCCCTGGGACTCCCGGGGAATCTTTGGACACCCAAGAGAATCTTCATGAAACCCTGGAGGAATTCTGGGGAAGCCCGGGGAGATCCGGGGAATGCCTGGAAATCCTTGGGAAACCGCTTGGGGTGGGGATCTTGAAGTTTTTTCACATATATATATATATATATATATATATATATATATATATATATCAGGGCTGCATGAGCTTTGAGACACTCCATTACGTGCTGCAGGCACGTCGGCGCGTAACAAATCATGTGTTTTCAACGCTCCTCTGCATTGTCGACACGCGCGTCGTCGCGCGCGCATGCTGGATTGTTTTGTGTGAACGAAGGTTTTGCAAAGAATTCAAGACCGAGCTTCCCGAACGTATAGGGAACATTGTGGTTTCGCACCATACATTTCCAAGCTATTTTGCGCGCTGTTGCGAATCCTTATGGAAACAGTTGTGGCTTTGAACGATTTTCTTGCATGCGACCAAGTGGGCCTCCCGCGCGCGCATGTCGAAATCACTCGAACGCTGTAGCGCGCCAGTCGAAACCCTGCGATCCACTCTTCCTCGGCCGCGTGCGCATGTCGAAATCCTCCCTCAACCTCCGTCGCCGACACGTGGACATCATCATCGCCATCGGCGTGACAAGCGCCGGCGCCGTCATTGGAATTGCCGTCGTCATCGCCATCGTAGTTGCCATCATCGCTACTATCATCATCGTGTCTGCCGTTGTCGTCGTCGCCATGATACCGCGCCCGCCCGAGTCACCGACTCGCACTGGAATCCCCGCGCGTCAGCGTGGCCTGCGAGACGCGTTGGGAATTCCCCAGCGGTCAGCGTCACCGCGGCCACGCCAAACTAGTTGGCCGCTATGCGCGCGAGCCTGCGGGTGCCAACGCGGCCGCACCGATGCGCTAGCCAACGCCCAGCAGTCATCGCAATGGTTGCTGGATGAGTTGTGCGAACCAAATTTCGGGTGGGTGGGTGGGATGATTCCGCTAACAAGGGGCTGTCAACGCCCATCTCTGCCAGGGGATTTGCACCCCATATTTTGCACATCAAATACTGCACCACATTGCACGTGCAACGCAAGCAAATCAACAGAGGTTGTGCGACATGGATTGATCCATTATGTTGCGCAACATACATAGCCATGCGCTCGGTGATTGGGCCCAGCGTTGGCTTATCAGACATATAGACACACACGTGTGTCCGTACATGTCTGTTTGCATAGATGCATGTTTGTATATGTGTGTACATATATGACATACACAAATGTGTGTCAGCAAACAGCGTTCTGGACAGGGATGCCCTGGTTTGATTGCAGAGGGACCGCACATATACATAACACTATTCTTGGCCGACCAATGCGCCCACGACCGATGTATACGTGTTTTTTTTCTGCCAAGAGGGCAAGACGTGCAAACTTATCCTCGGTTCTTATTTGGCCCTCTGTAGGTGTGAGCCGTTTGCCTCCTCCTCCTCGCGTGCACAGGATCGATGTTATCGGACGCTGTTGGTTCTGCATTGGGCCCCTCACCGGCCTCTCTGGGCCTCTGGAGGCTCCATGGGGGCCCGTGAAGTTAATCTGGCTCAGGGGGGGCCCTTGAGTCTGGTCTGCGGGAGTCCGGGCCGTACTGCTGGGTTCAACTTTTTGATTCGTGCTTGTATTTGTTCGGCCTCCCGAGTCCTACGGGGACCTCCTGTGTCCTCAAGGGAATCTCTCCGACTTCCACGGACACCCTCCCTCTCTCCCTCCCTCTCTCCCTTCGTCCCCTTCCCTTCCCCCCTTCCATTCCCTACCCTACTTTCCTTCCTCCCCCTCCCTCCCTCCCTTCCTCTCCCTCCCTCCCTCCTTCCCTCCCACTGCCTCGATCCTCCCTCCCCTTCCTCTCTCCCTCCCTCCCCCGCTTCCCCCCTTCTCTTCGGCGACTGGCTGTCTGGACTCCTTGGCCGTGGCCCCGTGGATGCAGGGCGGCTCTGTGTGGATGCTCCGCGCGGAAATCATCCATGGGATCGTGCATCAACGGAATCGCGCTTCGCTGTCCAGACCACGAGGGTGAGGATATGGATTTGTTCGCCGTTCGTGATGCCTCGCCCACCATGGGAATTTTGGCTTACCCTCTCGCGACAACGGCTGTTGCCTGGGGGAGAGGGGGAAATGGGGGCTGGTAGCGTCACGAATCGCGCAGTCGCCGTCCAGGAGCCAGCTGCCTTCAACCATTCCCGAACGGCGCCAGCGCGAATCGTGACGTTGCCTGGCGGGGCGGCGGCCCCTGTAACATGCGTACCTGGGAGTGGCTCAAACAGCCGAGCTTCGTCCACCGCCTTTCGTCCCCACCCAGCCCTGGCCCCCTCGGCCCATCGATTCGCGGCGGGCCCCTCGACCGCCAGCTGGGCGGTCCAGCCAGCCTGGGTACCCCCCCCCCTCCATGGAGCGTCCAGTGGTGGGCTCAGTTGTGCCAGGGCCGGGGCTGGGACCGCAGGAGGAAAAGGAAGATGAGGGTGAGGAGGGTGAGGAGGGTGGTAGTGGTGGTGGTGGTGGTGGTGGTGATGGTGATGGTGATGGTGATGATGATGATGATGATGATGATGATGATGATGATGCTGATCATGATCATGATCATGATCATCATGATCATGATAATCATGAGAATCATGATGCTGATGATGATGATGATGCTGATGCTGATGCTGATGATGCTGATGATGATGATGATGCTGATGCTGATGATGATGCTGATGCTGATGCTGCTGCTGATGATGGTGATGATGATGATGATGATGGTGATGATGATGATGCTGATGCTGATGCTGAGGCTGATGCCCATGCTGATGCTGATGCTGATGCTGATGCTGATGATGATGATGATGCTGATGATGATGATGATGATGATGATGCTGATGATGCTGATGATGGTGATGATGATGATGCTGTGGAGGAGGAGGAGGAGGAGGAGGAGCAGGAAGAGCAGAATGAGCAGGAGGAGGAGTAGGAGGAGGTTGGTGAGGAGGGTGAGGAGAGAGGGACAAGAGGAGGAGGGATGAGGAGGGTGGGGGCGCAGGTTGCGGAGTGTGAGAACGCTTCAACGCTCAAGAGTGGGAGGATGGTGATTTCGTTTGATGAAAATGAGGAATGAGAAAGGATACGAAACATGGGTGGTGATGGTACGGCTGCTGCTGCTGATTTGAATACATGGTTTACAGCTCGATGTTTGTCTATTATATGATGTTCAATTTAATGATATCACAAACATTTCTAGTATATTTGTCCGGTTGTTCTCAGGACCAGCAAGTAGTTCAGCAATCGCTGGATTTTAAGCGCGCTTTGTGCTTGAAGTAGGTGTAGGGCGATCCGAATAAGAGCTCGCTCTGTAGTTTATCGTTTTCCAAATGGTTGAACATGGTAGCGGAGCTAGACTAGCTCCAGCTCCCAGTCCCGCGCGCCCCAAGGTCGGCAAGGAGCGCGCGATGCTTCCGCCAGGCGGATCGTGCTGACGGAACGGAGGCAGACAAGAGGTTCGAATGGGTCGGCGTTGTTAACGCCTGGGGGGGCGGTTGCGTTGAATGTAAGTCGCACGGGCCGCATCAGTGAGCTTACTCGAGCCAGGTCGGAGCCTACCTGAACTACGAGAAGCACCAGAGGCGCGAGAAACGCTTAAGTATCAAAAGCGGCGTTGAACCAGGATGCGTCCAACGATATGCACAACTTTAGGCAGCAGACGCAGCAGGCCATCACCGAGCTGCAGAGGTAGAGCGCCGAATTGCGGCACCAAGCTCGATAGGGAGGAGGTTCTGAGATCATCCGGCAGCTCGGCGAGGTCATGGAAAATGAACGCAGCGCCGGCGCAGCAGCAGGCATATATACCACAAATGATCCAAGCGAATGACATCGGGCAGTCGCAGGCATTGAAAAATACAGAGTCGAAGTCAGGCGAGTGGTTTCAGAAGCTCGACAGTTGCGTGCTCATTGTCTTCGAGATCAACGTCGAGCTGGCGATTGAGTGGGTGGTCGATCAGGCCAGCTACAGTCACGGATATCTTGGACGATGCCACTGAAGGCGAGGAGGTGGATAGTGTCGACGAGAAACTCTTGCAGTTTTACGCGGTGTTCGCTTCGCTCGCCGAGCGCGAGTCGTTCGACTTGGCGGCCAGCGCTGGCTATGGCAATGGGGCGGAAGCTCTGCGACTATTGGTGCGCCGCCGGGCCCCTGCGAGTCGCGGGCGTCGCCGCGCGTTGCTCAGGAAGATTGCGGCGCCCGCCAGAGTCGCGATGCTCGAGAACAGGGCGGGCGAGGTCGCGAAGCGGGAGGAGCGGATCACGCGCCTCGACGACGGGATCAAGATGGGTGCGCTCGAGAGCCCCGGTCCTCAGCACGTCCAGATGCACCGGGCCTTGAAACGCACTTTGTTTCAGGATTAGATGCTCGTCTACTCGCGAGGGGGTGCGCGGCTTGTTGGGGGCCGCGCATGCGCGGGGAGCTCCTGGCCGAGCCCGAGGAGGGGGGGGCGCGAGGTGGGCGCGCTCGTGAAGCGCGGCCACGGCGCATGCAAGGGCGGCGAGGGCAACGGCGAGAGCTTCAAGAGCAATGGCCAGGGCAAAGTCCGGGCGGCGAACGACCCGAATGGAACGCGCTGGAACCACGGGCGCAAGGGCCAGCGAGCTGCAGACTTCTGGGCCCCACAGCAAGACAAAGGGCGTGGCGCGAATAACAAGGGCGAGATGCGATCCTAGAAAGGCAGCGGTCAGCAACGCCAGCGCCGCCAAGGTGGAGTTCGCCTGGGCTATCTGAACAACTTCGAGGAGACTGCCAGCGTGGTCGGCGCCCAATTGCGAGCTTCGGCATCGCGGGTCGGAGTGCGCGACCAAGCGGCGACCTTCAACTTCGACGCCTTCGAGAAGGTCCGCGAATTGGGCGGCGTCGAGGTCGAGGGCGTCGAGGTCGAGGGCGTCGAGGAAGCGCCGCTCGCTCAGGGCTGGTCTCAAGAGGAACCGAGACGGCGACGCAGGCCGAACGCCGACCTGACCAGCGCGAACAGTTCTCGGCCATGCCCGCGAGGAGATCATCTACACGAATCGCGACGTGGATCGCGAGGCGTGCGTGGAGTTGCCCGAGGGGGAGATCCGCGACTCCGCTGAGTCCATGGTTGGCGGGCTTTCCAAGACGATACATGTTGCGGTCGACGCAAATCTTTTCTGGCAAGATGACTCCATCGGCCCGGCGAGTCCGCGCGGTTTCAAGAAGGGGATTTAGAGCTTTGCGCTGCTGTGCCGCGCCGAGCGCCAAGCGGAGGTCCACGGCGGAGACTTCGGCGCGATCGCGAAGAAGTCTCCAGAGGGTCGGCTCGGTGAGGTGCTATCCCGCAGCGACGTCAGGACGGCTGGGGCCCTGGGCAGCAAGCCGCTGATGGGGCGCGAACTTGGCCCACCTCAACCGGGTGCTGGTCTGGAGTCCACTCGAGCGCTATGCCTACCTCGGGGCGGACGCCCGGCGCGAAGAAGGTGATCAGGGGCTCGGGTCTGGAGAACGCCAAGGCGCCGCGACTCTGGCCGTCGAGAAGTCGGGGTCAGAAGATGGAAGGCGAGAAGATCAAGACATGCCGCAGCACAGTCATGAGGATCATGCACCTGATCGCAGACAGGCCCGACATGCGCCGCGAGCATTCGGGCCAGACGCGCGAAGGAGCCGAAGGAGACCGACGCGCAGGACTTGATGAGGATCGGGCGCTGCCTGAAGAAGTGCCCTGCCAGGCGGCGGATGTTCCCAGTTCAGGGGCTGCCTGAGGCGGCGGGCGCGCGCTGCGACTGCGACCGCGCGGGCGACGCGATCACGAGACGTCTGAAAACTGGGATGGCAATACATGTATATATATATATATGTTTGTATGTATGTACGTACATATATATATATATATATATATATATATATATATGTATATATGCAGTATTTGGGGGATCACATCAGCGGAAACATTGCGGCGCGGCCCAAACCGCGGTGAGTTGTGAGCAGCGGCGAGGCCGAGTAGCATTCTCTGCCGAACGGATCCTGCCGCGGTTTTTGAATGCAAGCTACGCTGGTCGACCTAAGAGTGGACGTGGATATCGAGATGAAGCTGCGCGTCTTCAGCGTCAGTTCAGCTGCCTCGGCGGTCGCATGCCAAGGAGGAGATCGAGCTGCCCGTCTCCTAGATGCGCTTTTTCTCTTGCTGTAGGGGCGGATCCAGAAAAAGTTCGCTGCTGACGGCGGTCGGGGGCCACGGGGGCCTAACCGACCCTTTCACGAAGGTCTCGGCCAAGATGCGATGGTGCGACTTACGAAGCCGATTAAGTTCACGATGATGGCCGAGGGTGGCGAGCGGCGCCGCGTGCCGCGGCGGCGCAAGCGGCGCGCCGGCGCTCTCCTGCCGGGAAGTGGAGGCTCTGGATCATTTTGGATTCCGCCTTCCGCTTCCCCCCGCTCGCGGCGCCGAGGGGTTTGCTTTGTTTTTTGGGTGTTCAGGCAGTGGTTCAGCGAATGCTGACGCCTAAATATGGACCGGGCTTGAAATGGATTGGAGGTGATTTGAAGCAGAGTTCTGTCTGTTGGCCATCGTGCTCAAATAAATGGATGACAGCTCTCGTCTAGTATGATATGTTTCTGCGTCGGCCCACTTCTATGTGACGACAGATTCTTGTTCCATTTCAATATATCATATGATAGTATATGATATTATGTGTGCTTCCCTTTCTGGTCAGCCCTTCCCTGTTATCATATATTGCTGCGTGTTATGGCATGCGATGTGTGATGCATGCTGTTATTGTTGTTGTGCCACCTGCAGTATTCAATGTTCGAATCATATCTAGTATGTTGTTTGATTTCCTATTTCACTCACGCTCTACAGGCCATTATTTTCTATTTCATCCTGCCCAATTCTATATCATATCATCCCACATGGTTCCATTCCTTTCCATTACAGTCCGTTCTATTTTATGATCGTCTGTTCTATCATGTCCGATTCTATTATGGCCCTTTCTAGTCGGTATCGTTTCGCTGGTTTTTGTTATATCAGACTCTTGTCTGCTTTATACCATACAGTTTTTATGCTATATGCTATCGGATGTTGTTCTAATATACTAGATCCCGTCAAATATTTATACTACGCATCCTTTTTTCTCGACCCATTGTTCCCGAGTTCATTGCAGCATGTTCCATTATATCCCGGTTTTATTTAGGGTGTCCGATTATGTCGTGTCTTATGCCCGTGTGTTCTATCTTATCTAGTTTTCCAATCGCATTCGGTCACATTGTGTATGTTATGTTGTACCCTGCTTTGTTATATCCCATCATTGTCGATTCGGTTCTAGTTTGTTCAACTCCACTCTGTTTATGTGTTCCACCTGTTCTGTCCGATCCTATAATATTCCCGTGTGCCCCAATCTTCTGTATTGTTTTTTCTTTTGTTTCCAGATCACGTGTTTCTTTCGATTCTAGCTCGCGGGTTTCTATTCGGTCCTTTGTTGATTCAGTCTGCACCAAGATATCATGTTAGGTTGCATTGTATTATGCTCCGTTATATTATAACTAGTTTGTTATGTTAAGTTCTATATCATTATTCTCTTTTCTGTAAATAACACCAGATTGTGTTATATGCTATCATACATATTGCATTCCATGTATTTCCATCGCACATCTTGCTATTTACGCTAACGCATTCCCATTTAATATCATGTGTGTTCGTATAGTTTCCACGTCATGTCATCGTAGGTTTGTATGTCCTTTTCTGGTCCCACTTTATTTTACTCTATTCAGGCCTGTTCCATTTTATTGCATGCCAGTTTTTTTGTATCCTATTATGTTCTTTTCCACTCTCATATATCCGTGAGGGTTTCGCCGCGTGCTGCTGGCCCCCTCTCACGTAGAATGCGCTTTGCAAGAGCTATGTCGTGAGGCCTGGGCGCTGTCGTTAAGCAGTATCGGAACATCATGCGAGGCCGACTCGTAATGAGCAAAATCAATTGATCAGCAGAGGGGTTACCACACCTGGCGGTTGGTAAGACTTCGTGACCCTGCGGATCTGCGTGAGGGGTGCCACCGAATTTTACAATGTGGCAAATCATTTTCTGTTTTTGGACCCTGACCCTGCGGATCTGCGTGAGGGGTGTCACCGGATGTTACAAATGTGGCAAATCCCATATGTTATTTGGCCCTGGCCCTACAGATCTGCGTGAGGGGCACCACCGAGTTTCAGAAATGTGGCACATCCCTTATGTTTTTTTGACCCTGACCCTACGGATCTGCGCGAGGGGTGCCACCGAATTTTAGAAATGTGGCAAATCCCTTGTGTTTTTCGACCCTGACCCTGCGGATCTGCGTGAGGGGTGCCACCGAACCTGCGGATCTGCGTGAGGGGTGTCGCAGAATTGTAAAAAAACGAAGAACATCCATTGTGTTACTGGACCCTGACCCTACGGATCTGCGTGAGGGGTGTCACCGAATTTCAGAAATGTGGCAAATCCCATGTGTTTTTTTGACCCTGACCCTACGGATCTGCGCGAGGGGTGCCACCGAATGTCAGAAATGTGGCAAATCCTTTTTTTTGTTGTTTTTCTTCTCCTGCCCTGACCCTACGGATCTGCATGAGGGGTGCCAATGGATTTTAGAAATGTGGGAAATCCCTAGTGTTTTTGGACCCTGACCCTGCGGATCTGCGTGAGGGATGCCAATTTTCACCCCCCTCAGAAATTTTGAAAACCATCCCAGGGCGTGGTAGTTCTGCTGATTTGGGCTCCCCCCCCCCCCGCACGTTCATCAACAAGGAACAGTAAGCAGCAAAAAGTTGAACTGTAACAGTGGAAACTGGAAGCTGCAACTGGTACATGGAGCAGCACACTCCCGGCCTACAGCCTGGTGGCCCCGCAAGGGGGCCGGCGGATTAGAGTGCCTTCTTTTTAAAATAATTGTGAAGGAATACCAGCGGATCCCCATTCAATTATATCATCGTCTGTATTGTTCTATCGTGAAGGAGCGCCAGTATACCCCCCTCCTTTCAAAAGGGGGAGCGCTGGCCCCCGCCCTCTCTTCTCCCCCCAAAAAGGGAGGTTCAGGCTCCCCTCCTTCCTTCCAGCGGGTGCGCTGAGAGGTTTCGGACCGCAGGATGTTAGGGCTAGGGTGGCAGGGTCGAGGTGTTAGAGTTAGGGTGTTAGGGTCAGGATTCGGGTATTATGTTTTGCGCGTTTTGGGGTTAGGGTGTCTCGCTTATGGCCGTAGTGTTCGGGTCAGAGCGGTAGGGTTCGGGGTCGGGTGTTTGGACTAGGTAGGGCAGGGTGGTTCGGGGTTGTGTTGTCAGGTTTAAGGTGGTTTCGTGTTAGGGTGTAAGTTTAGGTGTGTCTTCAGGTGTTAGGGTTACGGTGGTAGGCTTTAGGGTGTCAGTGTTAGGGTTTGGGTGTTAGGGTGTTACGTTTAAGGTAGTACGATTACGGTTAGGGCGGTGGAGTTTGGGGTAGGTTGTTACGGTTGCGGTAGTTTAGTTCGTGTATCGGGTTATGGCGTTTTGTGGTTAGAGGGCAAGTTTTCGGTGGGGAGTTAGGGTGTTTGAAGGTTATGGGGGTAGGGTAAGGGTATTAGGACTAGGGTTAGGGTGTCAGTGTTAAGGTGTGGGTGCCAGGGTGTGAGGGTTGGGTTAGGGTGTTAGGTTTCGGGTGTTATGGCTAGGGTGAGGGCGATAAGATTAGGGGGTCGGGTGTCAGAGTCAGGGGTTAGGGTTTGGATGCTTACTGTGTTAGGGTGTTAGGTTAGGATTTTACAGCTACGGTGTCGTAAGGTGGCGGGGTTCACGTTAGGGCATTCGGGTCAGGGTTAGCGTGTTAAGACTAGGATTCGGGTGTTAGCATTACGGTGCTACTGTTAGGGTGTTTACGCTGGGTTAGGGCGATAGAGTTCGGGTGTTATGGTTAGTGTGATTGCGGTCGGGTTGCCGGGGTAGGGTGCTAGGGTTAGTGGGTTAGTGCTTGTTCATTTTTTCTCGAATGTAATATTCGGGTGTTCGGGCTAGGGTGTCGTAAGCTTACGGGGTTTAGTTGAGAGCGTCAGAGTTATGGTCAGGGAATTAGGATAAGGGTGATGGGGTTGAGGTTTGTGTGTTCGGTCAAGAGTGTCCGGGTAATAATGTTAGGAGTAGGGTGTTACGGTTAAGGTGTTTGGTTAAGTGTTAGGGTTTTGTGTTTTTTGTTTAGGGTGCTAGGCTCAGGGATTATACATAGTACTAGCGTTAAGTTGTGGGGATTAAGGTGTGAGGGTTAGGGTGTCGGGATTCCGGGGCCAGGGGGGAGGCGTGGCAAAGGGGGAGGGGGGGGATTTTCGAGTCCAAGAGGGGAGGGGGGGGGTCCAAACACCCCACGTTTCTTTTGAAATGGGAGGAGGGGGGGGAGGGTCGGGACGACGGATCGGGAAAGCGGGGGAGGGGAGGGGTGTGGGGTCCGGGGATGATGGGCCTGGGATAGGGGGAGGGGGAGGGGGAGGGGTCCAGACCCCGGCCCTTTTGGGTGAACCAGCGGCGCGCCCTCCTACTCATGGAGGCTCGCTAGAACGAGCTAGCGACAGAAATGCCTCTGATTGGTGGGTTTCCCAGGGAGGGGTGAGCATTAGGGAGTAGAGGGCAGGCGAGAGGGAGGCCGAAGGGGAAGGGGAGAAGAAGGATGACACCACCTCACGCGCACGCAGCTTCACTCACGCACCTGCTGCGACCCCGTCTCATGTATCCTTGTCGGAATAGTCGCTGTACTCAGCGTACTCGTCGTCCTCCTCCTCAGGACTGCCAGGCTTCAAGCACGATTCGGGAAGCACCACGCTCTTGAGCGGCGGCCTGCCCTCGCACTTGTTGTCCACTGCTTCCTTTGCCGCTGTCAGGCGTGCAACGGTGGTCGCGGTTACCCCGTTCACGATTGACGTTGCCCGTGCGGCCCACTGCGGCCGCCACCTTCTCGCGCCTAACGCGACGTAGCGCTGCTTCACGGCCTGGCCCCACTCGCCAGTCGCCCGGTGGGCTCCACGCAATCTTCCCGGCTGGAATGCGAGGCGCGTGCTGCTCGGTGATGGCTGGCTGCTGCAGCCCTCCTGTCGAGTGTCGGCACGGCCGCCTCCTCGCTCTTTTGCGCGAGTTTGTTGGCCTCCTCCTTGCCCCAGAGGAGGAGGATTGAGGCGGAGGAGGTGGAGGATGGAGGAGGAGGAGGCAGAGGAGGAGGGCAAGGAGGAGGATGGAGGATGGAGTAGGTGCTGGACGAGCTGAGGAGGAAGAGGAGGAGGAGGAGGAGGAGGAGGAGGAACGATGTTGCATTGCAGTACATGCACCCTCCATCGCAGATTTCACTGCGGGCAGTGCACCGTTGGAAGACAGCCGTCGGAAAACCCTGAGCCGGTCCAAAAGACAATTTCTGGACAATGCCCCGATTCAACATTACTGTTGTTTCCTCACGTTCCTGACTTGCTCCTGAATGCCACTCCTGCGACTTCAACACAGCGAATCAACGTGACCGTTGAGACTTCACAATCTTAAACCCTACCATCACACTATTGCGGACACGTCAGCAATGAGAACCTTTCAACCGGTGCTAAGCTTTTAGCACCTATGTGCCCGGCGTTGAGGCGAGAGCTTCATTTTGAAAAGGAGCCGCCTCCCATCCGGGAAGCTGTTGCACACTTTTCAGATGAGTGTGCTCGGCGCTAAGACGAGAACCATATTTTGTAAACGACAGGCCCTCCATCCGTGAAGGTCCGCAGTAAATTTTCTGGACGGGTGTGCGCGGCGCTCAGGCGAGAGCCACTTTGAAAACCACACGCCTCTATCTGGGAAATTGTGGTCACGGTCTCGGCTGCAGGATCATGAATAGTGAGGACCTCTCAGGCGAAACGCCCGGCCCGCCCTACCAACATGTCGCGGGGTGCGATAGGGAGTCATTTATAAGGAAATGGAATGCAGCAGAAGGAGGAGGAGGAGGAGGAGGCTGTGGAGGAAGAACTAGAGTCGAGGATGATACTTTATATATATTCGGTAATAACAGTGGTTGCTGATGATGCTGCTGCTGATGATGATGATGATGACGATGATGATGACGTTGATGATGCTGATGATACTGAGGTTGATGATGATAGTGCTGATGATGATGATGCTGCTGATGATGATGACGGTGGTGCTTGTGGTGTTGGTGGTGGTGGTGATGTTGACGATGATGTTGATGTGGATGATGATGGACATGCGGATGATGATGTTGTTGTTGCTGCTGACGGTCATGATGATGGATGTCAGATGATGAGGATGAGATGATGGTTGATGGATGATGTAATGGTGGATGCTGTCTGATGGATAACGGATGATTGCTGTGATGATGCTTCTGATCATGATGTTGTTGATGATGATGATGACGGTGACGTTGATTATGATGATAGATGATGACGGTGATGACGATGATGTCGATGCCGACGATGATGATGATGCTGCTGCTAGTGCTGCTGTTTCTGATTATCGTGATGATGACGACGATGATCATGACGATGATGATGACCATGCCGAAAAGGAGGAGGAGAAGGAGGATGAGGAGGCCGAGGAGGAGGATGAGGAAGAAGGGATGATACGGACGAGGCGTAGGAGGAGGAGGAGGAAGTGAGGGGGAGGAGGAGGAGGAAGAGGAGGAGCAGGAAGAGGGCCCGCCGAGCTGCCTGGGGGGTAGGGGTGGGCGCGGCGGCCGCCGCTGGGCGGCCTCCGTGCGCTCGCTGGCCCTGCGATCGTCGGGCGGCGCGCGCAAGCCCCGAGGCGGCGGGGATCTGGTCGAAGGTGGCCTGGGGAGAGCCGCCGCATCAGGCCTTCACGCCGACGCCGACGCCGACGACGGCGACGACGACGACGGCGACGGCGACGACGATGACGACGACGGTAAGGTCTCGCGTATGCGCCCTCGCTTCCAACGCAGCGTGCCGCGCTGGCTGCCCGCGTAAGCTGCGGCGTAAGGTCGCACGTCATCGCGAATAAGACCCGTTTCTGATCGTCGCTCATGTCGCGACGCTGGGAGATCGAGGACTGGCCGACGGCGGCGGCGGCGGCGGGCGCCCCACCCGATAGGCCGGGCACGGCCAGCCGGGGAGGCGTTGCCGCGCCAGCGGCGGCGAGGGCGGGGCCGCGGAGTGCTTCGCGGGCGCTGACGCAGGCGGGGCTCTTCTGAAGGACCTGGTCCTCGCCGCCGCCGTGTCTGTCGTTGTCGTCGTCGTCGTCGGCGTCGTTGTCGTCGTCGTCGTTGTCGTCGTCTTCTGCTTTGTCGGCGTCGTCGTCGCCGTCTTCGGCGTCGTCGTCGGTGTCGGCGTTGGCGTCGTCGGCGTCGGCGTCGGCGTCGGCGTCTGCGTCGGCGTCGCACTCGAGGAGAACACGAGATGGAGGAGGGAGCAGGACGAGGGGAGGGGGAGGAGGCAGTATGCAGGATGTGGGAGGGATGGCTTGGGTGGGAGACGGAGGAGGATGAGGAGGGAAAGGAGGAGCAGGAGGAGGAGGAGGAGGAGGAGAAGGACAATAATAATAATAAGAAGAAGAAGGAGGAGGGACGGCGACGACGACGACGACGACGCGGCGGCGGCGGCGACGACGACGACGACGGCGACGGCTGCGGCTGCGACGGCGACGGCGACGGCGACGGCGACGGTGACGGTGGCGGTGGCGGCGGCGGCGGCGACTGTGACTGCGACGGCGACGGCGACGGCGACCCCTCCTCCTCGTCCTGCCCCCTGTCCCTCCCTCCCCGAAATTGTCCTGCCTGACATCCGACTCCCTGTCAATAGAGAGGGGATCGACGGGTAGGACGTCCAATAAGACGCTTGCGCACCTAGCTTGTCCTCCCTCCTCCCCAGAAACTCGACGTCATGAACTTTTCACATCGTTGACCCCCAGTGGTCTGGACCCCTTTCCCGGGACCGGTGTTTCATCCTGAGTCGTTTTTTGATGGCTCCAAGGTCAAGTAAGGGCCCCGGAGGCCGAAACCAGCGAACACCCTCCCGTCGTGATTTGTTTGTCACGACGCGAGGGGGTCTGGGTCCTCCTCTCTCTCTATTCTCTTTGTAGCAGCCCGCGCGCGCCCCTCAACCGCCCCCCCCTGTGATGAGAAGCGGAATCACACTACGACGCGAACGTGATGCAGACGTGAACGACTGATTCTGTTGCTTCTTTATCGTCGCCTTTGCAATCGAGTGCCCAAACGTTGTGCGCCGGACTGCGTGTACAGTGGAGCCTCACGCCAAGAAACATCATGCTTGCCTCCAGGTTGCCCTGGGTTTGTTGGGTTCCGATTGTCTTGCGGCGGAAAGCGCGACGTTCCCACACCAAAATTCCATGGACGTCGTTGGGTCTCAGGGTGGGGCTTCTTGTGGACCGTTTCTTGGAGACGGGCCTCCACTGTACCACCCGCCAGAGAGGAGGAGGAGAAGAAGGAGGAGGAGGAGGAGGAGGAGGAAGAGAGGAGGAGGAGGAAGAGAGGAGGTGGAAGAAAGGAGGAGGAGAAGGGGGAGGTTTCTTGTGGACTGACCTCCACTGTTTTCTTGTCTGTAGCTCTGTGTGCTCTCTTGCCCCCCCTTCTGCTTCCCTGCACGGGAGGTGCCGCGGCCACCAGCGGCGGAGCCGCTTGCGCGCCCCCCGCCCGCTGGCCGGAGTCTGAGAGCGACGACGACGAGAGTGCCGCGGAAGGGAGAACGTGGAGGGTTTCTCCGAAGGGCTTAGGCGACTCGTCCTCCTCCTCCTCCTCTTCCTCCGCCTCCTCCATCTCCTCCTCCTCCTCCACCACCTCCTCGTCCTCCTCCTCATCCTCGGGTCGCCTACGGCCCCTGGGGAAACCGTTCAGGAGAAAGATCCGATCAGAGGAGGAAAAGCCAGAGCCCCGAATCAGCAGGGGTAACTCGGGTCAGGGCTAACTCGGGTTCGTTTTTCGGGAATGCGAACCCGCATTACCTTGGGCCCGAGTTACCCAAGGTAACTCGGGCGTCCAGAGCCCGAAATCATCAGGGGTAACTCGGGTCAGGGCTACTTCGGGTTCTTTCTTCGGGAATCCAAGCTCGAATTATCCTGGGCCCGAGTTACTCCGGATAACTCGGGCGCCCCAAAAAGGTACCCATACCGCTGTGCACAAGTCAAGACGGGAGGGGCCCTTTTCCAGGTCCCGGGATCGCCAAAAAACGAATCAGGATGAGAAGTTGGTCCCCGGGAAGGGGTCCAGACCCCTGGGTGTCGACGTTATGATAAAATCACGACGCCGGGGGTCTGGGTAATGAGGGAGATCAGGCTCTCAGATTGCTAATCTTTCCTACGTTTTCCTCTTTGGGTATCTCCTGGGAGGCCCTCGTCGTCACCGCTGGATTCGTTTCGAGATTCTGGCCAGGACGCACCCCAGGAGTAGGGGTATCGGTGCCCTTCTTGGTGTCCCCAGAGTTACCATCGGTCGCAGCCAAGAGGAGGGTAATGCCTCACGTAGGCGGGGGGTGTATATCATGGCCAGGGCCATGGGGTCTCCCTGGATTTCACGGCCTCCCATTCTGTTTTCGATGCGTTTCGTGGCCCCCCCTGGTCCGCGCACGTGCCTCTGGCCATGATTTGCGAACCCCCGTCTTGGACGCCTGTCTCTTGAGCGCCCCCGATACAAAGCCCCCCTCTTACGCCCACTCACGATCCCGATGCCAATGCTCCTCTTACGCTCCCTAGACGTGCCCTCACGCCCCCCTCTTGAACGCCCCCCTCGTGGACGCCCCCGGTACCAGGGCAGGGGGTGGTCAGGGAGAACTTCTGATTCGAGCTTCCGTTTTCGCGCCAGAGTTGCCCCAGATTGCACCAGAGTTGCCCTAGACGGCACTCGACTGCCCCATGTCGAATTTGTTCAGTGCTCTCCTTCAACAGGGGTTATTCCGCATCAAGCGGTGCCATGATTTCCTTAGATCGCATTTGGGGGCACTAAACAGGACCCTATCCGGACCAGGTATACCCCGGATAATTCGGGTGCCCAATCCTGCACATGTAGTGGTTGCGAACACAAAACGCGACGGAAGGTTTCTTTGGTGTGTTTTTCTGCATCCAGGGGCCTTCGCCGGGCCCCAGAACCGTCAAAAGGCGACCTGGGATGCAGCACCTTCCCTGGGCACAGGGTCGGGACTTCTGGGGACCCCGTGACATCGGATGTCTGGGATAGTGTCAGGGGCAACGTCAGGGGGTGTGGGTGTCTGCACGCCCTGCGCCCTCCAGTGGTGCCCTCCTTCCTCCTCCTGATCCTCCTCCTCCTCCTCCTCCCTCTGCCTCCATCTTTTGTCCTTCTAATAGATGACTCCCCTCTGTCGCACCCCGACACGTGCCGCTAATGCGGGCCGGGCGTTTCGCATGCGACTTCCTTACAATTTATGATCCTGAAGCGTAGAGGTTGCAACATTTACACGGATGGAGGGCGGGCATGTGGTTGTCGCTTCAGCACCGCACGCATTCGTTTGAAACGTTCGCGTGAGCTTCACGGATGGAGGGCGGGCCGTTTTCGATCTGTGGCCTTCGCCTAACCGCCACATATTGAGTTTGCCGTAATTGGAGGCTGGTTCCTTTTCAAAGTGTGGCTCTCGCCTTAGCATCGCGCGCATCTGTTTTCAACATGTAAGCAGCGTCAAGGTTTCATGACTGACGTTCCACATATGGTGTTGTGGCACGAGTTGGGGTTGTCAGGGCGCAACAGTTATGTTGGTTCGCGGTGTTGAAGTTCCAGGAATGGTGTTCTGGCACGATTGAAGATCGTCAGGACGCAACAGTAACTTTGATTCGCGGCGCTGAAGTCCCAGGAACCGTGTTTTCGCACGGTTCATTTTTTGCAGACGGTTGTCTTCAACAGCACGCTTCCCGCAGTGATATGATTTGGTGGGGACTTCTGACGAGTGATCTTGGAGGGATAGGTTATGCAGTGCGTCTTGGGCTTGCACTGGTCCTCCTCTTCCTCCTCCTCCTCCTTTCTTCTCTGTGAGAGGCCCAAGCAGCGGCCAAATACCAGCCTCGCTGCAGGGGCACAGTTTCTTTGAAGCGTCGGATTTGGAGTGCCGCTTGAAGGGGAACTGTAATGTGAGGGGCAATGTTAGGGCGGATAGGCTCAGGGGAAGATGCCTCGATCCCCAATCGCCCATTGATCGCCGACAGGCCGACAGGGGGCCTGATAGCCCACCCCGCGCAGGAGCTTGCTGGGTTCGCTATCGGAGGCCTACCGCCTACCTACCAGTGATCTGACGCGGATTCCAGGCCGATGTCTTGATCCGGTACCGAATTTGCACTTTCCTGGGCAAGGTGCGCTATATCAGGCCCCTGTCGTGGATGCGCGGGCGATTTGGGGTCGATGCAGGAACCTCCAGGGGCCACTGCTCCCCCTCCCCATCTTCCCGAGAATCCCCCTCCCCCTCGTGAGACTCCTCCTCGCCCTCTAGAGGCCCACCTTCCTCTCCGCCTCCTCCCCCTCTCTCCCCCGATGCCCCCCCCCCCCCCCAGCGCTCCACGTTCAGGGGGGGCCCTTCCTCCCCTCCGCCTCCTCCGCCCTCCTCCCTCCTTCCTCCTCCTCCTCGTCCCTCAACCTCCCTGCCTTTCCCTCTTCCTCCCTCGTCCTCCTCCTCATCCTCCTCTTCTCCCTCCCCCTCCTCCTCCCTCCTCCCTCCTCCCTCCTCCCTCCTCCCTCCTCCTCCTCCCTCCTCCTCCTCCTCCTCTCCTCCTCCTCCTCCTCCCTCCTCCTCCTCCCCCCTCCTCCTCCCCCCCCCCTCCCTCCCTCCTCTCTCTTTCCCGAGGCCCTCCCCCCCGGCACTCTGGTTTCTTTCCCGCGGCGAGGACCCTCTCGCGGAGGCCTCGAGAAGGTCCGCCCCTCCGCGGGGCCCGGCCTCTGCGGGGCCCCGGCCTGCTCCGTGGTCGGAGGGCCCTTTTCGGGCCCCCAGCAGGCGGGGCCCCCAGAGGTTCCGTCGGGGGCAACGATAGGGGGGGGGGTCAGGCTTAGGGGGGGATGCAGCGACCCCCGAATCGCCCATTGATCGCAGCTAGGCCTCTCCTCCTCCTCCTCACTCACTCACTCACTCACTCGCTCACTCACTCACTCACTCACTCACTCACTCACTCACTCACTCACTCACTCACTCACTCACTCACTCACTCACTCTCGTGGCGGACTTGGTCGCAGACCTGAAGCCATCCTCTCCTCCTCCTCCTCCTCCTCCTCGTCGTCCTCCTCCTCCTCCTCCTCCTCCTCCTCCCCTTCCTCCCCCTCCTCCTCCTCCTCCTCCGCCTCCTCCTCCTCCTCCTCCTCCTCCTCCTCCTCCTCCTCCTCCTCCTCCTCCTCCTCCCTCCTCCTCCTCCTCCTCCTCCTCCTCCTCCTCCTCCTCTTCCTCCTCCTCCTCCTCCTCGGCTCCTCCGGTCTTGCAGAGTCGAGGGCGGCCAGGGGAGATCGGCAGCACGCGGGGGCGGTCTTGCAGAGTCGAGGGCGGCCAGGGGACTTCCGATCGGGGGCAACGCTAGGGGGGGGATGGGCATAGGGCGGGATGCAGCGACCCCCAATCGCCCACTGATCGCAGCTAGGGGCCCGATAGCCTCAAGCTGCCCAGGAAGATGCGGATTTATTATCGGGGCCTATCGCCGATCCATCGGCGACGTACCGCCGATTCAAGGTCGATGTTTCCCCCCTATGCCTATCCCCCTCTAGCGTTGCCCCTCATTCCGAAAGTTCCCGTACCGACCAGGTAGCCTTCCATTTGCCGCCAATTGCCGGCCACGCGCAGAGTGGGGTAGCCAGACCTCCTCGCGCTGTGAAAAGGTCACGACGGGTTACTTTTCGGTGTTTTCGGCCCCCCTGGGGGCCCTTACTGGGCCTCGGGACCGTCAACAAAACGACTCGGGACGAAAAACCGGTTTGGGGGCAGGTGACCAGACCTATGGTGGAGGCTTTCTCCGAAGGGCTTAGGCGATCCGTCCTCCTCCTCCTCCTCCTTCGCCTCCTCACTCTCCTCCTCCTCCTCCTCCTCCTCCTCCT